GGGCGCAGTGAAGCTAATCACGTATAACAAACAAGCCCAGTGCTAATGTGGGGGTCTAAAGGCTCAGGGTTAGAACTGCCTCAGCTTTGACATCACTGCTGTTTTACATGTGGCGTTAAGATCCAAAGAGAAATCAAACCAAAAAGGTTTCAAGCTTCATGGTTAAAGTCTACGGCAGAAAAAAAAAGAAAAAATTAAATTGCATATGACTTTTTCAAATCCGGCGAGCTACAGCCAGGCACCTGGTTGTTAGGCAGTAAACACACAAACTGGAGGAAGTTTATTCAAATCAGTTGTAGAAGGAGTGAAGAGTTGTACTTTCTTGAGAAGGCGAAAACAATGATGGAGTTTCACGGGAGAGGGGTAGCTGCGACTTGATCATTTTGGAGAATGTGACGTGTGCCGGCATCAGGCGGAGGAGGATTAAAAACTAGTGTTGACACAAACTGGGTTCAAAACCTAATTTAGAATGGAAATTCAAACAAACTATTATCTTTGTCCATGATTTGTGGGTTTTCATCTGCAAAAAAAAAAAAAACATGACGGGTTTGTTGTTACTGTTGAACTTTTAGAGAAATTAAAGAATAAAAGAGAGAGAGGGGGAGTTTTCAAGGTTTTACGAATCGGCCTTACACGTCAACGGTCCTGGGTTTGAGCCCAAGAGAAACCATATACTGATACTAATGGCGTTGTATATATATATGAAAGTGAAGTGAATTATTTGTCACTGTGACACAGAACAGCGCTGCACACAACCAAATGTAACCTCTGACCTCTTTAAGCATTAAGCGCCCAGGGAGCAGTGTGTGTGGACGGTGCCTTGCTCAGTGGTAACTTGGCAGCTGGTGGACTCGAACCCAAGGCCTTCCGGACCCAAGTCCGCTTCCTTAACCACTAACCCACCACTATGTATGTACATATACATACATATTTAAACACAAAAAGACATGTTCACTGCTGCTAAAGTTTAGTGTTGATTTGCTAGTGGACAGATTGTCAGTAAATACTGATGTTCTTTCCCTTCACAAAGGCAGGGACAGATTGTCAGTAAATACTGATGTTTCCCTTCACTAAGCCAAGTGTTTGGTCCCTGAAATGGAACCCAAAACTGAACCCCAAATGAAGATCTCCTGGATGCAGCACAGGGCGTTACAATGTTGTAGCTTCAATTAATAAAAAAAATAAAAAAACAGGCTGAAAGATCACGGTCATGGATGATCTCCCCACTGGGATGACGCAGCCGCGGCTGCAGCAGCTCAGTGAAAGCTCAACCCTGGAATGCTCAGAGATTCAGTGTAAATTTTCCAACATAATTAAATGTGCAGCAAGTCATTTAACTGTGTGTGTGTGTGCATGAATGTGTGTGTGTGTGTGTGTGTGTGTGCACCTCTCTCCCGCTTGAGGCACAGCACACAGTGTACGTCCTTTGACAGAGTTACCATAGAGATGTTATGCACTGGATGGAAGTGGAAGACTCGGGTCCTTGACCCACGTTTGACTTGTAATTTATGAAGGAGCGAGAAAAAGTTCCTTTCACACGTCACGGGCGCTTCGTCTGATCAGAAACACCCGTGAAGAATTTGGGCAGCGGGTAACAATGGAAAGAATTAGGCACTTTAGAATGTTTGCATAACGAGCTCATTCGCTCGCCGCAATGGTTCTCTTCATTTTAATCACCTGCGCTCTCCAGACCACCTACACCCTCCACGGTGATCAGATACAGGACCGAGGGGTTGATGTGTGATCCGAGGAATTAATCTGCTAAGCCTGATTGCCATTAGCGCCATGCGATTATGCACCTTGATTACCGAGTCCGCCCCGAGGACAGCTGACGTGCCCCTATACACATTTTTGAAGGTGCGCATAAAATTACGTGGTGATTATCCCACAATGGATCAATCCACGAGCAAAGGAGGCTGCGTGGCCATATAGACAGTCTCAAGTAGTGCTGTGATTATTAATAGGCACTCGAGGTGACCCTGATACCTGAAGCCTGAACTGCAGGAACTGCTTCAGATCCTTCATGTAAGCAAATAAATTCATTTCCACAGCCTTTGAAAGTCATTATTTGATTATTGTTGTAGAGGAAGAGCTGTTTGGAGTTCAAGCCTAGATAAAAGGGGACGCTGAGCTCTTCACTGACAACCGGGGCTGCACTTGTCCCTCTCAAGATAGGCTTCAGGCATTAAACTGTGCCACAGATGGGGATGGGCTTGACACCGAGGAGAGCTGCCGGCTCCATTTATAGAAATATGTAACATAGACCTGCTAGAAATCCACTGTTCTCACATCCTATGCACAATGTAACATAGACCTGCTAGAAATCCACTATTCCTGCATCGTATGCACAGTGCTTTAACATAAATCTGCATCTTTTTTTTGTTGCTAATATTAATACTGAAGAGCTTTTTTATATTTTTCATTATCAATATTAATGTATGTGTAACTGCACAGGGTTATTTAGTGACCATTTTTCAACTCATTGTTGCATCTCAATGAGCGTACAAATGGAATATACAAGTCACGGTTAAACACTACCTTGGAAAAATTCCTCGCCACTGAAAAGTCCAAATGTTAACATGTTTGCATAAGTGATGGTCCATCCAGGTAAGGTTTTAAAGCACTTCATGCACAGGCTGCCATTTACAGCAAAGGTCCACTCTCTGTGCCCTCTCTGCACGTCCACTTAATGGCTTCAACATTTACTCATATCTGCTTAAAAAAACAACAAAGACAAACGTCAATCACAGGACTCACCTCTGTGTGTGTTTTTTTCCTCTCTCTTTTGTCTCTAACAAGTCATTTCACTGGTTTATGACGACAGGAAAAATAAACATATTGTACAAGGATGAGTTAAAAGTGTTTTTTCCCCCATTCTGCAACCGCATCAAGGGCCATTTAAAGTATGCAAATGTGAGTTTGAGCTTCCAAATACTCAAATACAGAAATTCCATCAGTGGCCAGAGTTCAATAACTCTTCAGTCTTCAAGTGTTTGAATAATGGTCACAGTGACTGCACAGCACAGCAATTCAAAACCTCAACAGACCGTCGGTGGACGCGGTCGGCCACTAACGCAACGCGGACATGTTGGAGTATATAGTAATGTCTGACCATGTGTCGTGTTGTAAGTGATGATCAGAGGATGTGGCAGGAGAAGGACGTGAAGGGTACGTGCTATTCACAGTGCTCCGTGTGGCAGCTCCATGCTGCTGCAGCATGTTTGTCAGGCACTTACGCAGTGCTGTGGGCAAGATGACCGCGACTGAGTCACGGACACATGCGTGTCCTACGTCCAACGCCGCAGAGTCCCTCGGTAACACATGTCAGCAGGACGGAGTTGTTATTATGGGATACACGGATGACTGGAGTGTTGTTCCCAACAACCTGTTGTACAGTGAGGAGTTTAAAAATACCGGCTTTACTGGACAGTTGGATACTTTACTACGTCATACGTACATGTTGGTGCTGTTAAAATAAAATAAAAAATAAAAATGGCTCAAACTACTTTGCTTTCCTCTATATTTAATCAGGCCGTGCGATTTCAAAGGCAGGTTCACTTCAATTACAAGAGTGCACAGACAGTTTTGACAAGAGAAGCTGCTCCGGTGCCTTCAGAGAGAGAGGAGGAAACAGTCTGATAATTAACCGTAACTGCGCTCAGAGATTGAGCGGAAATCCCTATTTTTATATATATATATATTGTTAAAAGGACGCGTAAATGAACAAAGGAATGAATGGAGTCATTGTCAGATCATCTCACTGACATGGCATTAACATTTCTAGTTTAAACAGGTCTCCTGTGGAGATTATCACACCATTCTCTTTTATCTCCGCATTTACATCATTAGAAAATTGATATTTGAGGTTGAGTAGCTGCAGAGCCGCCGTAGCGTGTAATAGGGAATTCACTTTAATGTGCTCGAGTTGAAAGCCTTTTTGAGTCACAGTGCAGAACTGAACTGGGTTGTTCAGTGTTGGGGCAGCAGCAGCAGCAGCAGCAGCAGCAGTGTGACAGGACAGGAGGTGAACAAGGGTCAGGGTCAGCACCTGAATCACACACGAGAGACAGGAGCTCTGGCAGAAAGTGTTTATTTTTCAATAAATTTTTCATAAAAATAACAACATCGATATTAATTTAAAGTATTGTAGAAACATTGTATGTACAAAAAGTCGTTAACAGTTAATATAACTTAAGGCGAGTGTTATCACTTTTTGCAATACCATGTTGGTGACAGTTCACCAAAGTCTCCCTCGAGTCCTTAAAGTCTTTGTTCAAATCAACACTTCCACATTCACTCATTCATAAAATAAAATATACCAGCCGTCAAACCCTCCCGTATCAGTTAGAATCTACAAAACTTGCAGCAATGTGTGCTACCTGATTACTCAAAAGCAATGTTTTTACTGATGTACTAGTCATTTCTAACTCAAAATTAACAAAATTATTTACAAACTTTGAAACTATTTCGTCTACAACAGAACGTCTGTACAACAACAAATACCGTCAATTCTGATCACTTTGTTTGTTTGTTTTTTTCAAGTCTGGACCAGAAGTAACTCGTAGCTGAACGGACTCGTCAAACCGACGCCTCGTGTGAAAATGTTTGATATCAAATTGTAACGTTTAAAACAGTGTATTAGTAGAATATAGCCCTCAAAAACAAGACATTATTGATTATTCCAAATACATTTCACGTCAGAAATGACACTGAAATTGTGCTAAATGTAAAATACTTATCTATAAAAATACAAAGAAGTACAGTAATACAAATATATTTATTTTTCCATTTATGATATAAGCTTTCACAATTCAAAGAAACTGGAACACAACACCAAGACCAGTGACAGTTAACTGACGTCAGATGAACTGAGAGGAAGAAAAAAAACAAGAAACAATAAATCTGATCAAGAGGATGAACAGCTTCACGGCCACAGCCGTTTCAATGTCAGCCTACATTCATGTCAATGACTTCCACTGTGAAGCCCAAGAATGCCTTGGCAGTGGTCGATACTCCAGGAAGCAAGGGAAGCAAAAAAAAACAAAAAAAAACACTGGTACGGACATGCAATTCAGGAACCGAGTCCAAAGCGTTGCTCTAAGAATCCTAGAAGCAGAAAAGAAGAATCTTAAATGGCGTTTTTTAAAACATCTGTTTAAGTGCAATCCCTCCGTCGTCACAGGCGGATGGGAAGAAGGAGCTGTCCATGTGGAGAGGTGCTGAACAGCAGTCATGCAAAAGCCGGGGCAGAGGTTTATTTCCCACCGACGCTCAGTGGCGACAGTCACTATTGGTCTGTTAACCGACTTTTTGTGACTTATGTCTGAAGTCTGCAGCATCAGCAACAGGCAGCATGGCTGACGCAGCCTCCGCTTCCTCCTCCTCCTCCTCCTCCTCCTCTCTGCTCCTCAAACACGAAAAAAAAGAAAAAAAAAAAGAAAAAAAAACCTCTTCATGCCTCGAAGTCAGACCGACTCTGACAAGTTGTAGTCAGCTGACTTGTCTTCCAAGACGGAAAGATCCTATCGTTGTATAGACGAACACATGACGGAAGTGTCTTCAAATCCCCTCAGGGAGAGTGAATGGCCAGGGGGCGGCGCTCACCTGAGGCTTTACTTCCATTTTCTCCTTCTGTTTCTGGTGCACGCGGCCGTGCCGTTTCCTCTCGTCGCTGCGGGCAAATCTTTTGCCGCACACGTCGCAGGAGAAGGGCTTCTCTCCGGTGTGAGTCCTGGTGTGGGTGGTGAGGTGGTCACTACGGCTGAAGCTGCGCAAACAGATGCGGCACTGGAAGGGTTTGTGTCCCGTGTGGATGCGAATGTGCCGGTTGAGCTCGTCCGAGCGTGAGAAGCGCCGGTCGCAGTTGTCCATGGGGCAGGTGAAGGGCTTCTCCTTGGCTGGGCCGTGCGAGGCGGCCGCGCTCTTCCTGGCCCTGGGGGGCTTGGTCACACGGGTCGTGTAACTTTGGGCAAAGGAATCCGGCAACAGGGAAGAGTACAGGATGGAGTCAATGGTACTGGGTAGAGCCGGGGAGGCGTACAAGGAGTCGGCTTGATTGGACGTCTGTGGAGGTTCGGGAAAGGGTTTGAGGTTAGAGGAGAGGCCCATGGGGGGCGGGGGGAGGTAATTATTGTAGAGGGGGCTGGAGTAGTTCTGGGAACAGGTGTCAGAGAAACACGGCTCCTGCTTGATGCCCCCCTCCACTTTAAATTCCATCTCCGGGTTGGGACAGATCGGGGGGAACGTGTCCAAAAGTTCCTTTACATCCATTTGCTGATCCGGGGGGAAGTCATTTGACAAGGGGAAGGTTTCTGTCTGGAAGCTGCTCTCCAGGCAGGTGGACTTACTGAATGTCCCCCACTCGTAGCAGCTGCTCTCGAACTCATTTTTGATCACCACAGGAAAAGACGCGGCCTCTGATTTTGGTTCAGCCTTCTTCTGGTTCGGAGCTCCAGAGGAGCCGAAGCTGAGCTGGGAGGTGGACGGGTCTTGGGCCTGAGCATCAGCGAATCTATGGCATGACTGTTCCGTGGTGTAAACGGGGGGACTGGGTCCGGAGCAGATGTAGGACTGACTTCTGACACCGCTGTCTCCAAAATCGCCATTGCTGCTGCTGTCCATCGGCGCGGGCGAGGCATAAGTTCCTCGACTGTTGGCGTTCGCTTGCGCCTCAGAAATCGGCGTTGTGGAAATGCCCACGATCTCCGTGATCATGTTGAGCAGTGTTTCGGTGCTGCACGGCGCTCCCTGAGATGCCTCAACATAGAAACTGCCGGAGTAGGCGAGCGACGACGGGGTGTAGGTGTCTTTCGGGCACTCACACGGGTTAAACGCATATTCTGAGTTGGAAGCTTCGGTTTTGAGGGTTACAGGTGCTCCTTCTGCGGAGACAGAAAGAGACGAAACTTTGTCATCGCCACTGTTTAATCATAATCATAATAATAATAATAATAATAAGGCACTGTTTCAGAACGGCTGCGGTGGAGGAAGCGTGTGTTACATAAACGTTTATGCGTAATTTGGCACAGAATGGCGCATCCGAGAAACAGGAGCACCAGCTGTGAGCTGCATTCCCCGAGCCTTTCTTTGACAGAACCAAGAAGAGAAGTATTGCATGCACATTATTGACAGAATGTGCAGAGATGCGAACTCACCGTGGCCAAACTGGGCAGGTACCCCGCGCTCAGCGTCGACGTACACGTCCTGGTTGTCTTTCCGTGCGCTGTTTTCCATTCCCAGAGAAGAACTGTTGCAATTGTCAAACTGAGGGTAAAAAGAATCTTTCGCGTTCAAATCCATATTGTTCAACATAATGATCAACTCGTGAGTCCGTGTCTTCTTCCAGAGAAAATACAGGGAAGACGTGAATTCAGATTCAACGGATCACTGGCTTCTTCTTCTTCTTCTTCTTCTTCCAGACAAATTTCCACAAATGATCCAAATAGATCTGTGTCCAAAAGTGTGTATGTGTGTGTGTGTGTGTATAAAATGAAGCAATTAAAGATTAAATCCTCTCCGTTTCTGCTCCTCGGTTGGAAGGCTTTTTGCTTGCTGTGGCTTCCTCCCTTTCTCCTTATATACACTCCGGCGGCTCCCTCGGCCCTCCTCCCCATTCATCAGCTCCACTGAGAGGATTCCCCGCTGCGTGTAAACTTCATGCCCATATAAGGACAGAGGATGTGACGGAGTACGTCCGAACCTCCCTTACCCCGTACAGGAGAGATGGAGTCTGACGTTTCAACAAGTGGTGGCCGTCGGTGAGGAGCTGGAAACACTGAAATATTTGTTGTTGTTGTTGTTGTTGTTTTGTATCCCGGACGTTTGTCTTCAGATGGATTATACTGCAGTAGTATTTGTCAATAAAACAGTATTTGTCTTATCACAATAAGGTCAGTCATCCCAGTATCCAGCATTAACTATGATGGCTGAGTGTGATATTATTGTAGGGACATTTGAAAAGAGAAAAAAAAACTGAATAAAGAAGACATTATTTTAAATATCTAAACCGTTATTATTGTGACTAAATGAAACTAATTTTATTTTTTTTACAATATATTATATAATAAATATGTTGTTGTTTAATGACTTCAGTGAGGACGACATGTTTCCCATCTGTGTAAGACCCCAGTGATTAACACCTGACCCACAGAAGCGGTGGGCTGCACCTTGGTCATGTGACGGGGGACGGGGGGGCGAGAGGGGTGAGGGGGGGCAGCTCTGCTGAATGTTGACAGTTTTTCAGTGTAAACTGACAAGTGATCATGGTACTGTTGTCTATTATTATTATTATCATTATTGTCTTTTAAAATACATTGAAAAATCTTGGACATGTAATATATATATATATACACACACATATGTACATATATACATATATGTGTATATGTAAATATGTACCTGTGTGTGTATATGTATATATTTACGTGTATATATATGTAAATATATACATATACACACATGTATATATTATATATATATACACACATATACACACATAAGTACATACATATATATGTGTATATGTATATACATATACACATACGTACATATATACAGTACTAGTATAATTGTCTGGTTACTGGTTGTTATGTAAAGCTAACAAACAGCTAATTCATTCCTTCCTAAAAACCCTTAAATGATTAAAAAAGTTTAGTTTAAAAAAGAGATTTTACTCCTCACTCTGACCCCTAAACCCTCGGTGCCCTCCTACCCACCCATCTATATGTCCAGAGCAAAAAGAAAAAGATGAAAAACTGAAAGAAGCTCTTCCATGTTTGAACATTGCTCAGACTGACTTCCCTAAACTTCTCTCCTGTCGGCGGCTGCTGGACATCGCGGTCACTCACACTGTCGGGGTGAAAATCTGCACAGCCTGGACTGAACGAACCCCTGGCCTTTGAAAGCACCGACGGGAGTCGATAAAACCCCCGAGGTGTTCAGTGGTTGAACCCAACTGTTCGCATGACATTTCCACCCCAAAGTGTTTTTTCTCAATTTTGCATCTGTTGCCGGGTGCAGTCTGTGGTCACACTTCCTATTACAAAAAGTCGATACTCTTTTATCAGACTTTGCAGTTTTCTCCAGCAGACCTGTGGCAGCAGTCGGAGGTTCAGCACCTCGGACAGCGGCACCGCAGCTTTCAGCTGTGTAATTACACACACAGCTCATGGAACAGAAACCTTTTCCAGGTGTCGCACCACACTCAATGCTTTCTGGGTTCCTGTATTCATTTGACTGGCCTTTTTTTTTTTTTTTTTGCAGGACATCCATTCAATTACACCATACAGGTTGATGGAAACGTGTCCACAGACCACTACTATAATGAGTGTTTGTATAAATAAAAACTCTGCAATGAGTGCATTTCCTTTTGCAAAATGAGTCCTCAACACGGCCTATTTTTACCAGGGTGTTAATCTACCCATGTCAAAGACACGTATTATACTATTGGGACAATTAGTAATAGCAGACGAGCCATACTCCATGTCCGTGCAACTGTTCTAAAATACTTCTTTTTTTTCATTTTATTGAAAGACATAAAGTGGGGATGGATCTTTTTGTGGACAAACATAGTTTTCAGAGCTACATTTTCAGTAATTACCGCCGATCAAACAATGCCGGTCGGACACAATCTTTTTCAGCTTTTCAGTTATTGGTATATTTCATTCAAACAAAGTTGTTTGGCTGGAGCACTTTCACATGTTGTAGCTACTGATTTCACTGGGCTTTCAACAAAAAAAAAAATACAAAAACACAAATCAGGAGAATGCCAGTAAAATGAAACTAATCTCTGGAAGGACATAGAGACAGTCCTGCATCATTCAAGAAGATGGAAGATCCAAAAACTACAAACTCCGTTTCTCATTTATCTTCCACCATAAAAACGCTTCTATAAGATGATATTTCAGTCCACATGCAGCAAAACAAATGTTTTGGTAGCAGCGAGAGCGACCTGCAGATCAGTAATATTATGAGGCAGTATGGACCACTGTGTGTACTGCAGCACAGAGGCAGCACAGATGCTGAAGGTGCCCATTAGACATAATGAACAGCCTGGTTATAGCAGACTAGACTTCTTGAATTTGATGTTATCTACATCAGTACTGAGCAGCGGACAAAGAATCAAAGGACGTCGGAGCTGCTCCCCTGTCATTTCTCATGTTAGTGTGTGATAATAGCACACAAGCCCTTTTCAGTGTGGCTCTGACATTCTCCGGAACAAATCGTTTTCACCTCAGATGTGCACTCTAATTCCAGGCCTGGAGATGTTTAGCTTTGAGGAACTGCCTCCAAGTAATCCAGAGTCTATTAAAACCAATCTGATCACACAGAGTTCAGATCACGGGACGCTGTTATGATAACTGCAGTGTTACTAACCTCTCTCCTCCATCAAATGCCACAGCACATAGACTAAGTAATGGATTTATATAATGGTAGCACTTACTGACATTATAGCGCAGCGGTAACTCTGCTGCCGAGGAAGTTAAATAAAAGCCTTTGTTTTATTCCCTCCGTGTTAAAGCACAGCGAGAAAAAGATAGTCAATTCTCCCACTTCATGGCTTGGTAGGTATAGAGAATAAACATTAGTCTGGGTCCATGAAGGTCTGCATTTTAACATTCAATTACACTGACTGTGAAAGAAGTTTAAGATTCTGAGAAAGAAATAATCATCTGACAGTAAAGTTTATATTCAATTTATCACAATATTCTAATTGATTTGAATGATTTCTCTTCAAAAATAGACTTTTTACTTGGGTTGATTAAGTCACTAATTCACTAAATAACTAACCAATTATCTTTAATTAGACATATACAGAAACAACACTCAGTTTTTCTTTACATTTCAGACTCAAGGACTCGTACATAACTGCCGAACAAGAAATTTCTAACATGATTTCTATTTAGCAAAGCGTTAAAAAAAACCCTCCAACTAAAGGCTTGATATATGTTAATTATTTTACGACTGTAATTTTAAATATGTTAATGACTTTGCGTTCTTGCCGCAGTAAAAGCCTTTCCCTGCAGGTAGTTTAATGACACGGGCAGGAAAAAATGTGTCCATGACTGACAGTTGTTAGAGTCATGACAGAAGCTGCTTCACTTCTTCATCAGACTCAGACTTGGTTTTTTGGGATTTTTTTGTTGCTGAAATTCAACTCTAAATGAACCAAATTAATTCATTCAAAGGTAGTTTTTTTTAAGTGTTTCTTCTAACATGATCATTATATAATGATGTCTGCTGCACTCGGACACAACTTTAACACAAAAACTAATAATAATAATAATAATAATGCTAATATTTCACCTAATGCTGGTTGTGTAACATTTCTATATGTTTGAGCTCAAAGCCCTGAGTGCTGATTGGTTCTTCCACTCGTTATTGAACATCAGTTTCTAATCCATGCATGGATTATCGATGGATGTTTTAAATTGAGTGACAAAGGGCCGTTAGACTTGTTTTGATTTTCTCCGACCATTAGCACCAGGACTCCTCTGACTGTGGAGTTTGGCGATCGTGTCCAGTCGTTTTTACTCATTAACATAACTTTAAACTTACGATGCATCTCATCGAGGTCTCAATTCCTTGGCTTTCTGTCAACCAACTTAGCAACCCACGCTGTTTGGAGGTAAATAATAGATCCATAGCAGAAAATCTACTGAGATGCAGAGGCTGTCACTGCTCTTTGAGAAAAAAAAACCCACTTAAACCTATTACATTCTGGTGAGACGCGGCAGACGCTCGGCTGAATCTATAAGACAAAAGCAGAGAGATACTGGCATACAATGTAGACTGCAGCTATGTCTGCATCCACACACACACAGATAAAATGCATATTTATCCAACAGGATTGAAACAGTGTAGGTACTGAAGTACCAATAAAGTTTGTCAATGCAAAACAGATTTGTCAGAGTAATTCTGGGAAGGATACGGTTGCATAATTCCATCTCCCTCTCCAAATCACATTCAGACAGGTCTCACATTTAAATCTGCCCCCAGGGGCGAAATGAGGGAACATCTTAAACCTAAACCTGGATACAATGGGGCCTGTAAGACAGCACAAAATGGATTGGAGGAGCTAGAAACCACAGAAACCTCTGCCGGAAACACGACTTTCTATAAATACGGGATACTCGCCTCAGCTGCCAAGTTTCTTATTCTCTACCTCTCTTTCTCTCTTTCATTTGGTGCTCCTCATAGTTGCATACATGATGCCATACCATCATTTAAACCCTGGGCAACTAAAAGAAAAATAGAAATGAAGAGGGGGGAAAAAACTGAAGCAACGGAAGCGTGGTTCTTCCTTTTTTTTTTTTTTTTTAAGGATCATCTCCATCCTGCTTTTCCTCCGAGAGTGGGAGTGAGTTAGGGAAGCCCGGAACCAGGCCCCGGTGCTGCTGCTGCTACTGCTGCTGCTGCTGCTACTGCTGCTGCTGCTGTTGGTGTGGCAGGTTTCCCATATGATCCAAAAATACTTTTGCACTCGCCCACTTTGGTCCCTAGCTGCCTGAGTTCTCCTGTTCTGCAACGGGGATGGGTGAGAGTGATTTTCAGCCCTCCAATCGTGATTGCAGAATGCCCAAGCGCTTCTCTAACCATGCCCCCAGACTCCTCCACACACACACACACACACACACACACACACACACACACTGTAGTTACAGTTCCCACTTTTCTCGTGGAGTCCACGGTCGCAGCACTCTGACACACTGCTGGTGTATTTAAGAGTAAAAACACTGTCATTTCTTACATCACTCTGTAACTGATTCAAAATGTTTGACGAACTAAACGAAAAGTGAATCCAGATTCCCAGACCTCTGACAGATGTGACAACATCCGTCCCCTCGGACTCACACACGTCCTAACACACATAATCATTAGCGTGCAACACAGAACTAATTGCATGTACATTTGACCAACAGAAGGCAATAGTTCTGCATACTCCAGTCTCTGACTCATCTGCACCCACACTGCTTTCTATTTGTTGCTCTTTCTTCCATCCAGTGATTCCAGAATGTGTGTAAAAAAAAAAAAAAAAAGATGAGAATGTTAATCATTTCAAAGCACCGTTACAGTTCTCATGCACTAATCATGGGGACGTGCGATGCAAACGCATCCAAACAAATAGCCTAGCTAACACAGCAGACATGTGAGGAAACAGAGGAAGAATGTTAAGAGCTCGCAGCTAACAAAAGTAACTATGGAAACGGACGGCTCTACATTGCACTAGCTTCCCCAGCTCTCTCCAGAAATAAAAACAGTTCGGCTAAGAGCGAATCAGGTAAAGACAAAAGATCGCGGGTGAACCTATTTATAGTGAGCCTTACATAACATACATAGACCTATGTTGGCTCAGCCAAGTTTGGTGGTAAGGGGGGGGGGGGGGGGGGGGGGGGGGGGGGGCAAAGTGAGAGAAGTGAACAGTGGATGTGTTCAGTCCTGGAGGGCGTTTCAGAGAAGTGAGAGGAGAATCGACAACAATTAGTGAGGAAGACGAGCTGCTCTGATGTCGAGAGGAAACAGAAACACTATTAAAACTGCAGACAGACCTGAGCAGCTGATGATGAGAGAAGGACGGACGAGACCGCTGTCAGACCCCGGCCGACCACACGGAAGTCTGTAGAGTTCAAGAAAAGGTCATAGAAATTAATGAATTAATAAGTAACCTAGTTACTTAAACTAAACTAGCTCCAAAACACATATGATGGATTCACATTTTTCATACCAAAGGTGACCACTACGTAGCGCTGTGGTAGCAGAACTAATAATATTCAACTTTAATCTGTTGGTATAATGCATGAGCCCCCGATTTGTGGACAGGCCGATTGTTGACCCCCGCCCCGCCCCTTTATCCTCATTGTCAATTTCACAGAATTAAAGGCTCAAATGCAACGTTCCCTCTGTGATAAATCAAGAAAATATTGATGTTTATCTGCGTGATTTCCAAACGTTCAGGTCAACTTTTGTGTTAAAATGTCATCGACTCATGTCAGTTTACATCCAGTAGAAGTTTTCAGGGAGTTTTAAAAGAGAGACGGAGGAGAGAGAGGAGCTGCCGTCAGTGGTGAGAGTTTATGAACATACCAACACACATCCACAGTGAAACCTGTGTGTGAGCCTCTGTCATGCAACAGCAGAGATCACGTTTAAAAAAAAAAAAAAAGTCCAACCTGCCACCATATCTTAAATCCAAATTGAGCCATTAACATAATTATCCACTTGTACTGCTTTAATTCTAAGTAGCTCTCTATTGTGCGTGAAATGAAAGACTTATTTAAAAAAGCTTTTCTCTTCACTCTCACAGTAGCTTAATAATTAGCTCCCTCTAGCACGAGCTCCTGGAAATTACATTAACAGCAACAGTGAGTGCTGGAGTGGAGAGGAATGGCTGAGCAACATTTTCACTCTGACAAACTCTGCAGACACAATCACTTCCACTGTAAAACTGTTGGTTTATACACGGAAAAAAAAAAGAAAATCACAGCAGAGAGGGAGAAAGTTTGGGGCCGTATGCAAATGACTTCTCCCTGACTCATCTGTTTATCATGCAGTCACATTAGTTAGCTCTGCCGCTGTTTGGCCTTTATCCCAGTCTCTCTGTGAAAAATAGGGGTCTTGGGTGAGGATGGGGGGATGGACGGCGCAGTGAGAGCTTTAGTCACACAGATCATCAGCGCTCTTTAAAGAAATAAAAGCATTTTGGAAACCGCGATGCTTTGAAGCGCTGCAGATGGATCTGCGTCCTCTGTGGGGAACGACGGCAAAACGCAGCACAAAGAGGATCATCTGTGTCCACGGCCCTCGTTGCTGTTTTTGCATTAATACGTTAAAACAACGGACTGGCCCTGAAGGCATCGACACACAGGCTGCTGCAGATCTTCAAGTCCACATATATCATCATGCTAAACACTGTTGCGACTGATCTTCTGCCCTTTTTTTAAAAAACAGATAAAACAGTGAAAGTTAGTCAATTCCCTCTTATATTTACATCAAAGCAGCGCTCGCTTACAGGAAAAGTGGAAGGACATGTGCTGTAACAGACAAATGTGCTTTGACAGACACTATTTTTAGACATGCAACCTTGATACACCACGGACAAAAGCTCAGCTATACAACTTCCCATCCATCGCTCAAAGGTTGGAACCTGGTGGTTCAATGACTTGGAGCTGGTATTGGTGCTCTGAGCATCAGCGCTTTTTTTTTTTTGTAGTATTAATAGGAAGTGTATGCTCTCCTCAGTGAATATATGTCAGTGTATGTCAAAGAGTGAAAAGAATTTGCTAGCTATGTACTCTCCAAACCTTTTCATGTCGGGCTAATTAAGCCCAGAGCCCTCGGAACAACTGCGCTCCATGGAAACCGTGCAAAAAAGAAATAACCGGCGGCAGACTGACGTCAGCTCGAGGCCTTCAGACGTACCCTCCGACAAAAGGTACCAGGCTGCAGCGCTACTGACGTCAGCTCGAGGCCTTCAGACGTGCCCTCCGACAAAAGGAAGAGTACTAGGCTGCAGCGCTTAAGGTCTGAGTGCGACAAAGCTGCTGTCTTGACACAGCGTAAAAGGAAATATTCACCACATACTAACTGGTAATGGCCGCTGGTTCAGGGCTGCCACGTCTTGGCATTAGATAATGACAGCATGAATGCTGCTATACAGTCACAAAGCGTTTGAAATATCAACAACATTGAAAGAAATAATTTGTATCTGTTGCAGAGCTTGAAGGGAGATTCTGCTGATGGAGCAGAGCTACGTAGTGTTGCGTCATGTTGCTGTGGTCAGTGCTGTCAGGGTCACTGACAGGAGTCTGAGACGCTAATGAGGCAAAACGCCAAACGCTAATTCACTAAACAGAGGCAGCATGATGGGACCGATGAATTCAAAAAAAGAAAAGTTACCCAAAAATATTTAAACCATTTATTCTTTGAAAAAAAACAAAGCCAGGGGTCAGGGGGCGTTGAGATTGTCAACTATACTTCTTGAACAGAGAAGAAGGGGGCGTTGAGATTGTCAACTATACTTATTGAACAGAGAAGAAGATGACGAGGTTGATTTTAAAAAACAGACAAAACAAGAAGTTTTAAATGAAAGAAAAGTAACACGAGTGAAAATCAGGCTGTCTCATATTTTATTATTTTCTTTAAATTCATTCCTAATCAATATTCCTCCAATGTTTTCCATCATTATTTTCTTATTAACTTAATGTCAAAAAAGGAATATGACCATGTTTTTGTGTCAAATCTGGTAAAAATGTATATCGGTCCACACAGTAAAACCGTTCTCACCACTGGAGCGCCGACTTCCTTCCATGACAGCGTCAGTTTAGTTTAGGCCGACTCTTCATGGTAGTATTGTTGACTGTGGATAAAACCTGATCATGGCTTTGTATTTAGAACATCTAATTAATCAGCATCTGAGGAAACACAGAGACAATCGTCCAGCGTTAATACTGTTCAGCCATCATTAAGACCGTCAACGCTGACCAGCCGGTGAACGGGTGACTTCCTTGACCCCGGCCACTGTTGTCATTGTATTGTTCCCAGATGTACCCCGTGTCCACGTACTGTCTGTACACGTTGTTAATAATGTTAGTCCTGAGTTCCTCGTAAAGACCAGCTGCCTTTTCCTGGTACGGACCATCTACGGTTTTGTAGTGATGCAGGGCTCTGACTGCCAGGTAGTTGATGTTAATCCAAATCGGGCCCCTCCAGTAGGGGGCGTCGTGTTCTGTGTTCCGCTTCATGTACATGGGATCTGACTTGGAGAGTGAGCGCAGGCCGTACGGCGTCCACAGCTTGTCAGGGTCTCTCATCTCTCTGAAGATGTGTTCCAGTTTGGGTGAGTCAGGTTGGAGGATGTGCAGTAAAAAGGGGAACAAGCTAACGTAGCCCAGCGCATTAACGTACTGCTGCTTCGGTGCCTTGCGGACGGAACGCACGAGGCGTGTCATGGGGAACTGTGGGCGGGGTTGTCCAGGAGGGACGTAAATCTTCTCCTGCTGTAAGGACACAGCGTGTGTGTGGTTGCCAAAGTCACTGTAGGCGTGCAGGTGTTCCGCCCAGTGCAGCTCATTCAGCAGGTCGTTGTCACTGAGGATTTGGTGGGTGACTTCGTAGTCCTGGTGGGACTCACCGAGGAGCTTTGATATTCTAGCCATGATACCGGAGGCCAAGGCCATCCAGCAGTGTAAATCCACGTGTCGCTCTTCGGCCGAAGGGTGCGACGCTCGTGGGTAGTCATCCAGGCCTGACGTCAAAGTCTTGGGATTGAGGAACACATTGGTGTCCTTGTCACGTCCACGCCATCGATACGAGTTGGGCAGCGGCCCGGTTTGTGTGGTGTTGTACCACTCAAACCAGGTTTTCAGTCTGGGAAAAAGTCGCCGCAGGAAAGGCAAGGTTGGCTGGAAACTCGCCTTATCTGGGTTGTCAGACAGCTGATCAATAAGTTGCTCAAGGGCTAAAAAAAGAGTGGGTGGGTTGGCATTCTCATTCCGCTGAACAACAAACTCAGTCGGGACCTTACTACGAGCCTCATCTCCCAGAATCTGCTCACGGGGAATCCAGCCTTCGATGTTCATCAGGTCTATCCAGTGGCCCACGGCCTCCCTGGTCACCTGGGGTTCCCACCTACTGAGCAGCAGCTGATGGAAGCCCTCGTCCCAGAGGAATCCTCTTGGAAAGAAAGAGCGCGAGGGTACGGCGGTGAAAAGAGCACCCTCAGGATAGAGTACTGGGTACTCATTGTAGAGGGACTGTACCACCGACTGGCCGTGGAAGTAGCCCATTCCTCCCAGCATGTTGCTGAGAGCTGCCTTGGCAAACCTAACCTGCACCCGGGTAAAACCTTTGCCCTCGAGCCCAAAGGTTTCTTCAAACTTTACATCAAACTCTGCTTTTCTCTTCTCCAGCTCCTGGGTCATGATGGAGCCCACCAGTTGGTTAGGGCGATCATGGAAGCTTCCAGACTCAAACAGAACTTCAATCTGGAACGGCAGCTGAATGGTAACCTGGTGGAGGACAAAGTCGCTCTCTTTCCTGACATCTTTTTTCTGAGTGTTTTGGTGGTGGGGAGGCTTGTACGTGTCCACTGCTATGTAATGTCTCTTCTCACCTGACGGAGGCGTGTAGACAAACCTGTGGGTCAGGCTGTGCTTCACAATGTCAGACAGCTGCTCCAAGCCAGGAGACCTTGTCTGAAGATAATTGTAACTGTGAAGGTGCAAAACTCTCGTTAGTGGTCTCATTATTAAATCACAAATAGAAAACTTTTTAAAAAGCTTTTACCTTGCATATTTTGCACTGGATAACTCCCCAGTAACAGGCTTGCGGAAGGTTATCTTAAAGTTTCCAAGCTCTTCTGAGAAACCAGTGATGGACGCCAGGCGGGTTTTGTCCTCCACATGAGCCGTGAGTGAACCTTGTGTGTCCGCCGCTGCGTAAAACATCAGGGACACGACTGGGGCTTGAGGGGCAGAGCTCTGTTGCATTAAGGGTAAGATTTTCTTATTATTTTCAACCATCTACAGCCACAGTTATTTGGCCTGGAAAAAACAAACACACAGCCAGGACTCACATGCTGCTTGGCAGTGATCCTCCAGGTCCAGTCTCCGCCGTGATATCCTCCCATTCTTTTGACAAATTCTGTGGTGAGGGTGAAATCACTATCCCGAATTTCCTGCACGCCAAATGTTTTCCCATCATGCATCAGCCAGCCGTAGCCTTTCAAACGATCCCCTTGCTCACAGGTGTGTCTCAGATTTATATCTACATCAGGAAACTGCCGCATCCACATCATTCCTGAAGAGATATCACAATAAAAGAGAAATCATGGTATTGATATGGTATGATCTTTATCTACGACAAAACGACTTCTGATGAAAACAGAGATACTTTTATCGTCATGCAAGTAACATCATTAGAAATGATATAGCATCAAGAAAATAAAAAATTCTAAACCAGTGAACATTAAAGGCTTCATACATCATAATATTTTCATCACATGTGTCTTGCCAACCTGTCACCATAGAATTGGGACTCCTGGTCTTCATGCCAAAGTAGACCTGTGGTCTGTATGAACCCCAAAACCTCTCTGGTGACACCTTAGCACTGCTGCTGTTTGCGTCCAGGACAGGAGGAGATGGATGCAGAGTCATCACCCTCTTCGCCAAGCTGGAGCGCATGTACAGAGCATAAAAGAACCAGATGAGACTGAAAATGCAAAGGCCGATGGAGATGTTGATTAGGACTTTGCCGACATCTAATTTCTTTTTCTTCTCCTTGCGGTGAAAAGCAGGCGGCCTTTCATCTCTCCAGGGAGTTGGAGCAACATCAGTAGATATCCTCTTCCTCAGCCTGCCCATCTTGCCAATATAAAGCTGAAACAAGAAGAAACAGAATTAGGATTTGAATGGGGGAAAAAAAGGCAAAATGGGTTGATTCAATTGTTTTTAAATTACAACGTTGCTATGGTCTAACAACAACATTGTTGTAAATTACAACGTTGCTATGGTCTAACAACAAGTAAAGTAAATTCCAGGTTTAAGCTTGCAGTGACTGAAACCAAGTTGTAAATCAAACATAATCGCAACATTACAAAATAAGACATGTTGAAATGACGGCACGATGAATGGCGGACCGTGTGCAAAGTGATAAAAAATAATAATCCTAAAATATGTGATTTGAAGGTAAATTTGCCAGTACATTCAGAGAGGTTACTTCTGGGTTTTACAGTCCCATATCGAGGAAAGAAAAAAAAACACAACGGAAGACAGAGACAGTGTTGCACTTCCCCTAACGGTTGCGAATCATTGTGGATTAAATACTTTGACCGTCATACAAGTAATACATATCCTTTCCTTATTTAAAAATGACTGGCATCTGTCTTACCCTCAGTATACACGCTGTCTATGGGCGGCGGTACAAACCGGCACAGCACACGATTTACAAGATTCCACGTTAACTGAGCCATGAACCCAAAGCCAGAATGTGCTAAACTGACGGCTGTTGCTATGGAACGGAATTGCATTTTAGCAATAGCTGACGGAATTCTCTAATATGAAAATGTTCTCCAGTGAACAAGAACGTTACCTGTCAAATGAACCTGTTTTCAGCCGCCCATTCTCCGCTGCTAGCCTTGTGCTAGCCACTTCCTGCTCAGTTGTCACTTCCGCTGACGTGTGCGTTGCTCGTTGTGTTGCGTTCGTTTAATGCCGGAAAAATGGAAATTACGGATAACCATAGTTTTTGTGTTGTATTGTGTGTTTACACCGAAGTTTCGACCGAAATTGAAAACCTAACTGACGACAAACGTGAAGCGTAAGAGACACAAAACACAAAAAAGACACAAACCCAAAGAGACACAAAACACAAAAAAGACACACAAACCCATTTTTTTTGCTTTTTTTAATGAATGAAATATATTTTATCCACATCATTTACTTTGGTAAACAGGTAAAACTAACAGACAGCAGTGGGGGGAAAAAGGGTTACCTTTTCACACACCAATAAATTCCGTGAAAAATATTTCCCGATGAGTTATTCCCTCCAGAGCCTGCCTTTTCATTCTAGTGTTAACCTGTCAAAAATCCAAATGTTGACAACAAAGCCCAGTTTAACAGTTTTCTCGGAGGATTCCTGACTGTATCTTCCATAATACAATACAACACCTCCACAGTTCTCCCATTTCTCTTGCTTTGATAGCTGTGCTGTACAAAGTAAAGATTTGGCCTTAAGAGACAAAACAAAACAAATGATGTTAAGAATTAATCAACGTAAAATAAAAAGTATAAAGCATAAGTTCCTGGAAAAAAAGGAAAATATGTTCAGTCTTGTTGAGCTGAATCAATAAGTGCTCACTGACTGTACCAAATGCAACATTATTTAAGTGCCTCTTTGTTTTTATTTATGGTTCATATGACACAAAAAACAGCAACAGGTAAGACAAAGCAAGAGACCATCCACCCAAAGTAATTTCCCACAAAACCCACACTCTTCAGTTGTGTGTTTTCTGCATATCTGCATTGCAATTTCCTTGACCAACTGGTGCAAAGACTAAGGCAGCAGGGGGCGCATCTACCCCTGAAATAAAGAGTATTTTAGAATTTTTTTTTTCAAAAAAAAAAAAAAAAAACAGCAATTAACAAGATGAACTTTACGTGTCCAGGGCACTGGTCAATGTACTTTCACCGAACGTCAACGCTGGTTTGTGTGATACAAACATCATCAGGAAAGGTATAAGGGAACTTTACTCTGCCTCCATGCTTATTTTTAGAAAAACATGCCGGAGCAGAAACAGGATTCAAGGACTTGAACATCTCTCTCAGTTCTTGATCACTCCTCCATCTCCTTCACTGACAAAACGCTTCCGTCCTCTGGTGGAGAAAAACAGTTTGTGAGACATGTTCATATAAACTAAGGATATAGTTTATAATAATGTATATGCATTCAGCGGTGTAATAAAATGGCTTATTGATCAACTGACCTGGAGGGACAGGCATCCCTCAGCTGTTTGGTGATGACTGACTCCTCGTAGCAGAGGTCCACAAAGGTCTCCATGATGGACTGGGCATGTGGTACGTCCAGGCTGATCTCAGGCAGCTCATCGTAGATGCGCTGGAAACCCTACAAGGAAACAATGGACGCCGTTAATATAATGACATAATTAGAACTAAGTAGTGTTTCCACGAGGTAAAATACGCTGTTCGTCTAAAGACTGACTCTGTTCATTTGATCCACTGTGATCAGGCCTGTCTTCCAGAAGGACTGCAACAGCTTTATCATCATATGACTGGCGGTGTCACCTTTGCTCTCCAGCACCATCACTACAGCCTGAAAAATAAAGTTGTGTTATATACAAGAGACAGAGATGTTCACCCTCTAATGGTAAATAACTTATAGGATTAATACAGATAGAAAAATACAATTTTTTTTGGGAAATACACATTTCTATAAATCACCACACGATGGTGCTATTTGTATTAACTCAGGAATCTCAGCCCCATATTCTAGAGGTTTGATACCTTTTACATTCTTTTTGAAATATCTAAAAAGAGAAAAAAGATAGAAAAACCCTGAATAACTTAGAGATATAGCATCCCATGAAAGTGAATATTTGTATAGGAAAAAAAATCCAAACATTTAATACATCAGAATACATTACACACCTAAAGGAAAGTCAACAACCATGCATCAAAAATATGTGACCATCATAAGAGACATGAAAATGACAACAAGGGCCATGTTTCATATCCTTTCTCGTCTAAATACTGGCACCAGTTGACACCTGAGCTCAACCTCAGGTCTGCAGTACCTCATAGACCAGCTCGTGGTGGAAGTGCGGCACCTCCAGGTCTCGCAGACAGTGCTCGGCCTCTGACACGTCTCCTGATATCAGATACTCTTTGAGGAGGAGGTTCATCTGGAACGATGACAGCACATGGAGACGTTGTGTTATGAAGGTGCAACACAGTTAAAACAACGGATGTTTGCGAATAAAGAATCTACGATTTGGCGACATCTAGTGGTTAGGTCGCACATGGAGAATAACAAATGTAATGCTCTGATTTCACACCAGAATTTGTTGCTTTATGCTGCCTACACTCAAAACTACTGTAATACCATGAAGAGTATACCTCTGTCTGTAACAAGCACCTGATTTGTTGTTGTGAAAGTATTTAAAATGTTGACTAAGTCAAAGTTTTTGGAACTTCTGGGCCTGGGTTTTTGGACAGTTAGATTACAGCGTGTCGTTCTCACCGTGCTGAACTGCATGTAACCTTTTACTTGAACCATTTAGTCCTAACAGGAAACCAACACTTAAGTGTCAACTCTGGGCTGAATTCACAGAGCTGATGTGTAATTAAACAGAATGCAGCAGCAGTGGACACACATACAGGGATATGGAAAACAAAGGGAAGGAAAAGGAGACGAGAACATTCTAAACCCTCAACAGAAGGAGAGTTAGAGGAGCAAAAAACAAAACTGGAGGAGCTTTTTGAATTTCTGAATTTTAATAGAGCAGCTAGAACTGGATCATGTGCTGTATGTTTGTGTGTTTCAAGTCAAAGGTCCGGCTTTGTGTCCGTGTTTGCTCTGTGAGGGAGAAAAATCTACTGACGCATCAACACAGGAGCACGTGCCTGCTGCTCATTTGTCCAGCCTGCGTCGCTGCTTTTGTTTACTCAGTGTCAACAAAGAAGCACAGGTTGCTAATATGGAGCACAGCAAGGTGATTATTTTGGGACTTCACTATTCGATTCATGAACAACAGGGGAGCGAGCCGGTTAATGCCCACGGCTGGATGTTCACCTCTTTAACAAGATGTTTGACAGGTCGGAGGCCTCCACCGACGCCCCACACGTTATCTAAACGGATCATCTCTCTCTTCATCGTCAGCAGCACTGCGGCCCGGTCTAAAGCCACTCTGGGGGGGAGAGAAGTAAACAGATGACGACCATCACAAGGTTTTAAAAAAAGCGAAAAAAAAAAACCAAAAAAACTTTGTTCATTATTAGCAACTCTTGGCTAACCTGGCGTGATCGCAGTTCACTTTGCCCTTGTAACAGTCCAGGAAATTCATGGGCAGGACGTGGTCTGCTATGGCTCTGGCGATGAACTGGCCCAGCATCTAAAAAAACAAAAAACAATGGACATGAGTCCAACTCTATTCTGAGTTTGTGCTAATGTTAGCTGAAAACCCGAGGCTCTGCAGTCATTGGTCAACCGTCCTCAAACATCAGCACCAAAACACACTCAGAAGTGGATTGAGATTCTGGGTTAGAAGGAACATTCCTGACCATAATGGACAGTTCCAGTGGTACCACATGTACTTCTGTGTACTGTTTATATAAAACCCACCAGGCCGTTCAGTTCTATATGCCCGTACTGAGCCACTGTTTTACCTGTGGAGCTTCAGGCGTGTCCAGAATAAGATCTGGAAGCTCCTTCAGCATCTTGTCAAAAGCCCGGGCCATGTCCTTCTCTGACAGCACTTTGCCCGTCAGATCGGACAGTAGGCGAGAGGTGAGCTCTCTGTGGCTGGCTTTACCTTCCAGGGCCAGTGACACAGCCAGAGAGGAGAACTCATACTTGTGTAGCCCCAGGTTGAGCCCCTTCAGCAGTAACTGGACAGAAGGAAAACAGACAATGATTAACGGGCGATCGATCCATTCAACACAGGCTGCCAACAGAATCTTTTCATTCCGAGTAAAGAACTTTTTTGTTTGTGTTTTTAGTACCCGGACTTCTTTGGTGTCTCCATGTTCGAAGTATTCCTGCACAATAGGGTTGACCATTTTCTCCAGTTCCTTTTCGTCCACCTCCGGCACCACCGTCGCATAAACTGTGTCGCCCTGTTTATCAGAGAGCAAACGTTATTAGCATTATGGGTAATATGAACATTGACACAGAAATTATTTACATTTATTTTCATACATTAATATTTGGGGTTTTCCATCATCCCATTAAAGCAGCCTTACACTGAGACTACAATACATTTAGCAGACGCTTTTACTCAAAAGCGACTTGCAATTTAAGTCAGTCAATCAACAATCAAGCTACAGTAAACATACAAAATACATAAATACATAAATAATAAGGTTTATAAAACTTCATTCAATTCAAATGGCATGTGAAAAAGACCAAACCTTCAAAAACTTTTAACAAAAAAGAAGTACGTATTTAACATCCATTCTGGTGAATATTCACTAAAAGCATAATGATTTTTATTTCTATTAAATTACTTAGTCAGGAACAAACAATTCTACCCAGTTACGCTGCTGGATCAGACTCCACTTTCTCAGACAGCACATGTTCTGGGCCGTCTCTTTCCCGGCCCCACTCTGACCCAGTTCCCTTTTAACACACTGACATCTTTCCACTCAAGGCCACACCACACTGGCTCTTGAAGCCGTTTCCAAAAGTGTTATCAAAATGTTGCAGACAGAATTTGCTTTCCCACTCAGTCAGTTCGACCATTAACAGGAGGCCAACCTGGGCTTTGGCCTCAAACTGAGCAACGGCACGATAACGAGTTAAAAAAAAAAAAGGTTTTCGATTGTGATGGGACAAAGCCATCTGTGAGTGGGAGTGTTGGCCACAGCTCTGCCACACAGAGGAGGATGACTTGTCTGGTTACAGGACTGATCCGTGTCCTGCTGATCATGCATCAAGTGTTGCATCATCAGTACTGTAGTACAATGTTTAAAAAGAAGATGAAATACTTTCAGGTAACATGTTCTGTCCACCTGATCTTTATGGGTTTTTGTCAAAACTTAGACCAAGTTTCATGCTTGTTGTCTACTGAAAGTATTAGCAAACCAACAATTCCATCTCAATACCAACTTCATTCAAATTCTATAAACGTGCTGATCCAGTGATCTGATACTCCGTGACAACTTTTCACCACAAAATACCTCCAGACGACGTCAGTGGTCTGGAGGTATTTCATCAGGTATTTCACTCGACATCTAACAGTACACAAATGAAAAAAACCCTATTTACTTTTATATTTAAAATGGCACACAGTGCACGGGGAAGGAGAGGTGGAGAAGGGGAGGGGAGTGGTATGCAAATACTAGCCATCTGTCTCACCTTGAATGCACACAAGTACAGATACAGAAAGCTCCCAAAGATAAAAAGTAGAAATCTGCCTGAAAGTAGTCCTAAGTAAATGGTGACTCAAAATATAACAGAACATTTGACAAGATGGTTAGATAGAGTAAAAGTTGGTAAAAAAAAAAAGAAAGAAAGAAAGAACTGCTTCAGTGTAAGTTGACCAGAGACACAGCTGCAACATTTCCCAGGAATAAAATCATCTGATTAAAAAAAAAACAAATCCCAGCTGAAAATCCCTGATCAATGATGAAAGAGTCAAACGTTCTGTGGCTGCACTGAAACACTGTACGTGTCTGTGACAGTCTGGGCCCCGAGGACGCACTGCAGCGACCTCAACATCAGCACATATTTCACCAAAGGATTAAAGGCTGTTAGAAACAAAAGCTGCTCCAAACAACAGGTAAAAACAGTTGGGAACAGAAGACGAACAGATAATTAGGTGGAAGATCTTTAGAGTTTCATCAAATGGAAAAATATGAAGCCGTCATGTTAAAATTGACTTTAAATTTCGCTCCAAACAACAGGTAAAAACAGTTGGAAAAACATGAAGCCGTCATGTTAAAATTTACTTTAAATTTAATACCTGAGCAACTTCATCATAGTTGGGGTCCCGGGCATCAGGTTCCTCATCTTCATAAACCATCCCAGCAGCACCCCAAACTCCTTTACCCCCTGCACCACCTACACAAAAGCAGCAGAGAAAGTGGAGGGAAAAAAAAACAATATTAAGTCAGTAGCTATTAAAAAGTTCAACACAGCACACGAGACCTCAACTGATACAAACACCACTTTTCTCCTGTACCTTTTTTGGGCAGGCCTCGGCCCTTGCCCATTCTAGATTTGCGGTCGTTGGTGAGGACTTTGCCTTTGGGACTGTGCGGGTCACCTCCCGCCAAATCTCCCGACTCGGAGATGGAGTCGCTGGTCGAGTTGCGGGAAGACGACTTGCGCTGACGACGCTTGGCTTTGGCTTTGATCCTGGCCTCGTGCAGGGCCTTTTCCTGCGGCGTCCAGTTACCGTTCATCTCGGCTTCGTTCAACGCGTCGTCGTCGTCACTGCCGGGACGTACGGCCTCGGCCTGGCCGTCGTCGTACAAGAGCATTCCTGTGGTCAGAGAGTTCAGAGAAATGTTTGACTTTGTCGGTCTCTTTGTGATGAATATAACGAACGTTAACGGTCTAATTCAGACCGTCACACACGGCTTTTATAAACGGAGCAGTTTCAAATAACATGACAACAGGATGGAGAAGGCTGCTCGCCAGATTCTTATCCAAAAAAATGATGGTTTTTGAATGCGTGATGATGAGTGGGAGGAAGTCCCTGCAGCCTGGTCAAAGAATGTTCAGACAAAATCAGAAGAAAGAGTTGGATGTTAAAGTGTCCTATACGATCCTAATTAGAAAGAGCTCGGGTCTTTGGTGCATAAATGTCAGTGCAGTTTTAGTCTGGTGACATTTTTCTTTAGACGTCAATCCAGGGCAACAGAATATTTTAATCACCATTTAAAGTCAAAGCTTTTTGGCTCAGAGAAATGGTTGGCGCAATACAGAGTGAGGAGAGTGCAGATTTGGCCAAAAAATAAACTGATGGGAAAGGAAGCTGATCATATCTACCAAGGCAGACCATGATGCACAAGAAAATGACCAAACAAGTCTTATTATGTTGTTGATACATTCATGCTAAGACTGGTACAGATAAGAACTAGTCTCATGAGTTTAGCCTAAGACTAACAGGTTGGAGTCAGGCTACGAACGACAAAATATCTCCACAAAAAAAAAAAGTATGCAGTATAATACTTATGCACACAGAGTGATTAATTTAAGATAATTATTAAAATTTATATGCCAAGAAACACTGTCTGAAATTCAATATGGAACTTTGACAACTTTAGCATAAAACTGCGTTCATAAAAACACGTCTGAATCCCTACTTTTCACTTCATAAATGCAATACATTCTGGCTGCATATTCTCCTCCCACCTCCACGTGTCCTGGCTGTTGTGTTAAAGGTGAAATATCGCAGGACTCTGCCGTCAGGACAAACACACAAACACACAGTGGCACAAATTCCTGCAGCGTTCACAAAGGCAGTCAACAAATGTGAGCCGGTTCTATTTGTCAAGTACTTCAGTAAAACATGGGTGTTTTTTTCCCCCGTGTTCACAACAAGGAGTGATTTCTGTCGGTACCAAAAGCAGAACGTTTGAAAGTGTTCACAACAACAAGTGGAGCGCGTCTGCAGACCAGGGGGAGGAGGCAAGGAGGGAGGAAGAAAGGAGAACACGTGCGGGAGAACTGCTGACTGCAGAATTTTGGAGCCCTCTGTGTCCTCGCGATCGGTTTGCAGCAGCTAGAAGCGACTTGACTACATATGGCGTGGTCAGAGCTACAACTGGTCACATGGTGGGGTAGTAGGAAAGGGGGGAGGAGGAGGAATGCGCGAGGGTGTAATGAATACTCGGATTCCTTACAGTATACATGTGGCATGTGTGGGGAGTTATGGAGCTATACATTACAGGACACTCACAGAAATAAGTCCTGAGTGGACAAAGTCCAACTCTGTGGCCTGGTCACAGAGAAGCCGCTCAAGTTTGCAACACCAACTTTCTCTGTCTTAAAGAATTCATTTTTCAAAGTCCACAACATATTAGTCACCGTACGAAAGTGAATTAGAGGAAACTTCTCTGAGGAAAAACAGGTTTCCTCCCTGAAGTAACCTGTTGTAGAAAAAGGAACGCCGCACCCTGTAAACAGCCAACCATGTGTCATCTCCTCCTCTTCCTCCTCCTCCTGCTCCTTCACCCTCCCTTATGTCGGCCACAGGACTTGCCAGTGCTGTAAATTAAGAACTAACCAATGGCAAAGTACCAAAGACACAAATGACCAACTGAAAAAGAACAGGACAAATGTAGAAAGAGTTACAAAACAATAAAGTGATGAATGTAAGTGAACTGACGAAAACATGAGTCCGTCAGTGAGCTGAAGTTGAAGTTTTTATCAACAGGGAATGGGTGTCTGTCAGTGTGTTTAAATGCACAGTGGAATCTACAGAAATGGTTCCCAAAGTTGGGGGCGCACTGTCAGGCAAGGTCAAAACATATTGACAGTTTTAGATATATTTTTTGCCCCACTTTGGGGGAATTACTACTGTCAGTGAGATTAACTGTTTTGTAAGAAATGAAATATAAATTAACAAGTGTAAATTTAAAATAATAAAGTTTGTATAATGCTCAACATGGTCAAACCACAGGGGATCCCTGGTTCAAAAGCAAAATATTTCTCCATCGTAACAGCTGAGGTGAGAAATCATTATATTAACTGTATATCATTTGTCGTCATCTTTTCAAATGGGTTTTGAAGAGTGTTAGCTTAAGAGCACATCCTTAGACAGACAGGCAGATTTTCTTCAGGAAATTAAAGATTATTTGGTGGGCTCTGAAAGAGCTAACCTGGAATTTAGTTTTGTGTGAATCCATTTTGTTTTTAACGGAGAAAAACTCTATTTTAATAAAAGGAACACTAGTTTTGTGTGAATCCATTTTGTTTTTACGGAGAAAAACTCTAACTATTTTAATACCTCTAACACACTTTTCTGTGACCAGATGTGAATTTAAGAAGCAAATGGAATATAGGAAAAGTGTCATACGATACATACAGACCATGTGACTCTAACGTACTTGGACCATTCCACAGATTATATCAAACAAGTACTGCTATTTTTTAGCTTACGTTAGCCTACCAAAAATGTACCCAAACACTTCAAAGCAGTAATGATAGTTCAAAAACCGCCCTCACAGTTTACACACACACACAGAGAGCCAGCGGCAGCAGCAGCTCTGCAGACCTGTGGCCTACAGCCAGCGAGACTTTGATGTGTTCACTTTTAGTAACTGGTCCAAAACGTTAAAGAAAAGCAACAACATAAGGAGGTACAGACATTTGAAACTGAATCCTGTGTATTATCAACAGTTTCATCTTTTTACCTTCAACCAAATGTTAAAATGCAAAGAAATATTTGGACATGTTTGTTTTGCTTTCACAGTCGAGTGTCTCTGGGACAGGAGAACTAAAAAAGAAATCTTCTCTTGTTAGAATTCTGCATGTCATAAACAAAACCTTTGGTGATAAACATGAAGCCCTCAGCCCATCTACAGTACGTATCTGACAAATGACCTCAAACGCAACTGAACAGTGTTGTTTGTGTCCTGTTTAAAGCAGAAATGAAAACCTGAAGCACAAGATATTTTTGTACCGGAAATTAATAGTCGGCATCATTCAAATACAAACAAGACAACTTCCCCATCACATTCTTTAACATCACAAACATAGAGCAAATGAACAGCCATACACAAAAAAATGTTCTGTGCAAGTAACCACTGTTTTTACAATAATTTAAAGGAAAGTTACGTGACAATTTATCAGAATTAACATTGCTGGAAATTCACTTCCATTTTATTCGATAAGAGAAGAGATTCCGCTCGTTGCCTACGCTTGCATATATTCAACAAACAAAATGATGCCTGTCTGTTATCATCAGTAGTTAATTCTATAATCTGTAAACTTCTGATTGTGTGTCTGCAAACACAGCAATTTTGTGCAACAACACTGATAAAGTGCACAGAGAGGTGCACACACAAGATTAGGACTGCCCTCATGAACAGTTAACGGTCGGACAGCTTCAGCACTGACTCACCTCCACTCAGTGGGTCGACACACTGATGCAGTGGGTATTTTTGTAGTGTTCACTATTGCATGCTGGTGGGCAGTGGTGGGTTAAGACCAACTCATACTGTGAACACAGCAGGTTTGTAAGAGATCTGGCTCGTCGTTAATGGCAGCAGGATTGCTCGATGCAGTGTTTCATGTACTTATCCTAAAACTTTTGAAAACGTCGTCACAGGTGTGGCGAGACAAAGGCTTTAAATCCACACATTACATTCTAATCCCTGCACAGTTTGACTCTGCACTGCAGGCAAACTTACAGACGCGTGCGTGAAAACACAGAACAAAACAATATGAGTCAGACATTAACAAAACAAATTAAGGTTTTAACATCTCTTTTTGTAAATATAGCAGTGTACAAATTAAGGTTTTAACATCTCTTTTTCTAAATAGAGCAGTGTAAAAAAAAACAAAGAAAGAAAGAAGCCCCTGGTTATACACAGCTAATTGCTAAAATTGCTAACATGCAAAATAGACAATACAGCCACTAATATAAGCTATTTGATTTTTTTTTTCTTCACAACACGGCCAAGTTCATCAGTCTGACCCACAAAACACAGACCAACTGTTTTTGTCCACAGTTTGTCCCCCAGTGGGACAATAGAGGCACTTCATAAACAAGAAGCTGCTCATTCAGGCATGGTCAAGCCTGCTTAAGAAAAGGTCAGTCAACTTCTCAGCCATCTGTGCTGCTTTTACACACACTTAAGATACAAACACAACACACCTGACAAAGTCTCGCACTCATAAATGATTTACTCTTCACAATCACTGCTCAATCAGCTGCAGGGCATCAATACAGTTTAGTACAACGTCATATCTGCCTGTCCTAATTTAAAAGGCAGGAGGTTATACAGCAGTGAAGGTCCGAAGTTTGAAAAGGCTGAAGTTGAAGTTGCAGGACAAAATCCTATTTGGGAGTTTACAGATTCCATGGAACTCAAATGTTCCACACTTTGAATGCTTGAATACTTTCAGTGAAAGCCAAGTTGGCAACGCTATAGTAAGATCACAGCAAAAAAAAACAAACTTGGCAACGCCTATTACTAAAGAAGACTTATTGCCAACGAGACTTGGCGTGTGCGTGTTTATTCTGTGGTATGGAAACTGCAAGTGATCTGTGACATGGTGGAATTTGTTCTGTCCAATTTAACCTTTAGTGTTTAGAAATGTAATACATGGTGAACTACATGGTACATTGTCAACAAATATGAACAAACATATGTAGTTTTACTGGTACATTTATGCGAACAAATCCATTACTCAGTGTATCTTCAAATGTCACATATATTCCATTGAAATAGTTTGTAGTTTTTTCCAAAAGATATAGAACAGAAAATTATATTTATTATATATGTCCCTAAGATGTTGTGATCAACATATGTTTGCGTGAACTCACATTTCAAACCTTCTAGAACCATAACTGGCACTGTTACTGATATACGTTAGGAACTGTAGTCCTAATCTGGACAAATTCCTGAACAATGACGTGTAGAACTTATTTCTGAGAATCTGGTTAATGTTATGACAAAGTAATGGTCCTGAGTTATTGATAAACCAACGCAATGTCCTCACAAGTATAGCAGGTCAAACGTGTGTGTATGTGTATGTGTGTACATACACGCCAAACATAGGCGGTAAATCTGTGTTAAAGAGTAGTTATTTATCACAGTACATTCTCACCGATACGTGTAGCAGATCTATCCGAGTATTTCTTATGTAACGTTTTTTAATACACGACGGCATCGAGATTATGTAAGAAAGCCTTTTCTATTGGGTCTTACTGCAGACCACACATGTCTACGTCATCATCGGACTGAGCGAGGACAACACGAAGCTCGCCGAGCCACGAAAAAGCACGAAGTTGAACATGTCGGTTTTTGTCGAGTGTTTAAGTCTGACGTATCCATGAACCTAGCTGGTGGTTTACGACAGACTCGATAGGTAAACCAGTTTAACACTCGACTTAACTACTACAGCTAAGTAATGTGGAAAAGTTACTGTGAAATATCTCAAAAATGAACGTTTGAGTCGGGAAAGTAACGGGGGACGATTTAAAGTAATGACATGTCAGTCAATCTCGGATTAAGTTGCCGTAACATCGTGAAGGGAAATGAACATCCAGGAAGCAAAACGTTTCCGTTTTCAAGTCAATCTGTTTATCGTTTCTGACAGGTAGAAACCTAAACCTAAACTAGCACAGAAAACAATTTAAAATACCTGCCCGTGCGTGTTAAACACACAGCAATAAAGTTACACTATAGTTTGGCATTTATATCCGTCTCTGTGTTTGCAAGTGTACTTTTGTCAACGCCACAGTTTTTATTTTCTGTGAGAAAAACAGTGTTTGGCAACGACTTTGTCTAAGCGGAAGTAGCAGCGCTGTCAGCGTCCAATCAGAAAGGCTAAAGGGTTAAAACGTGCGAAAGAACCTCGATAATAAACAAAGCTGGTTTTAAATGCTCCAAACCGATACGTACCGTCTGCTGGTGTGCCCTTTAACGCAACACTGCGTCGTGGCAACAACAACAACAACGCTGTGTGTTTGTGTTGTGTACTCTGAGTGTGTGCCTGGTTTACACCGAGCACATGGTGGAGCATGGCTGGCGCTGCAGCCCATCCCATGCAAACGGACAATAGCAACGGTAAAATCACGCCACCAGGCCTCGGCCGCGAGACCCTGCAATGAAGGGGGGCTGCACGAAGCACACACGCCAGAAAGCAGTCACTCACCGTCGGCTTTAGGTGCTGTGGGCCACGTATCCACTTCGGTCGCCATGGCGCTCTCTCAAGTGCTCGTTTAAGATCCTCACGTTTCGCTCGCGCTGCACTCGGCTGGAAGAAATCCTTCAGAGAAAAAGCGCAGAGCCTACAAGTCCTACAAAAATCCTTTATGACAAATAGTGCCGAGATCAGACGGGGCGGTTGCAGGAGGAATTCTGATCGTTTTTGCACTGCACGGTCTGCAAGAGGGGGGAAATGAAACACAACAAAGAGATTTAAAAAAAAAAATACTGATGAGTGAACGGGGGTAAAGAAGCTATTTAGCTCGTCACAGTATCTACGGTCGGGAAGAGTGAAAGAACGGAAGTAGGTTTGACACTGGATGAAGTGAACTACACGGAGGACATTTCAGCTAACAGTCTGGTAGAAAAACAAAGTCTGTTTTTAACTTTGCAAGAGCTAAACGAGAAGGGAGTCACATGGGGGAATCGCGGACGGGGAGTGGTCAGTACGAGGGGTGGGTGCTGGTCGGCTCTGACCAATCACAGCGCAGCAATAACAAACGTCTGAATAATGTCCAGTGTTTACCCAGTCACTGTAACGTGTAAAACGTAAAAGTGTTGTGCTGTAGTCTGAAGTGCATCAGCAGAGTCCGAGCAACAAGCCCTTTGTTTTCATGTGTTTTGATTCACTGTTCTTCCTCGTTCTATATGTAACTATGATAGTTAGAGCTTTAATGCATTGACTGTGACGTAACACACTGTTCTTTTTGTCCTAAATAGTAACAGTAAAATGTGTACTTGTTTAAAATCATGTCATTTTGCTGAATACTAGACTAAAATCGAGGCGCGTTTTAAAATTCCAGACCCCAGATGTGGTGATTTTCTGGCACCTTGCAGCAGGACGGTTCTGTGGTGCACGGAATTAATAAATAGGCAAATTAATTAAAGAATGAATGGATTTAAAATTTAACATTTTTAAATCTGTATTTATAGATGTAGACCACCAGATGGTGGTATTAAATAGTTGCTGGTCTGGTCCTACTTGAACCCAGACCTTGCCTGGTGCTTCATTTGAAAGCCAGGTGTGATGGGAGTAAAACCATCAACGCCACAGGAACACTGGTCTCGGCTATGTTTGCTGACAGGGATAGTTTTTTTCCCCGCTATGTTTGCTGACAGGGATAGTTTTTCCCCCTTAGAAAACAACGAGCTTATGTTGTTTTTAGAAAATTACCTACTTTATCCTATGGATGTGTTCACACAATGATATATACATGTATACATATTTATATATATATATAAATACATATATACAGTAAATACAAATATAAAAACACATGGACAGAAAGGGGGAGGGTGAGAGTTAGGGTTAGACAGTTAGATTTTGTATGTTATGTGTAAGAGAAACACAGACTTGGTTGTATGTTATGTGTAAGAGAAACACAGGCACAGACTTGCTATCGTATAATATCATTTATTTGACATAGAATCCACAAGTTGTTTTTTTTTTGTTCACTAAAGTAGCACAGATGTGAGTGTGCGGCATGATATATTTCAATAGTGTCAAAAAAAAAAAAAATCTCAAATGGAAGAAACCCAAACAGCCCAGACTCTGAGAAAGCACCAGAACGTGCAATAAAAAATACAATCTTAAAATGTCAGCATCTACACTGGATTATGCCACAAAATGTCAATGTTGTGCACCAAGATACAAATAAATGTGATATTCATGATCACATAAAATGTTTGGATGTTTACATCGAGCGATGCCAGGTTAACAAATAACAACATCCAACTTTGGCCTGATGAAAAAGCAACGATGATGTATCACCACAACGACACAGCTAAACCAAAGGTCTCCTACACACAACCGACACACTGAAGAGCGGCAGGTGAGATTGTACAAAGATACCCTTCGAAACACCACATTTTGTCAATTTAATCTGAACTAATGCACATACAACCACACAGAGATGCTGCTAAAAAAAGTCTGCTTTGTTTGTCTCGTCCTGGATCAGCAGGGTCTGACCTTTATCTCTGACCTTTTACTGGTAAATCTGTCCAGCTGCATCAACGTGCATGTGCTATGTATGCGTGTGTCGGCTTTTCTTCATCAGTTCTTGACATTACAAAATAAAGTCAGTACAAATATAGAGCAAATACTATCTTCATAAAGAAAAGTCAACAGTCCTATGCAGTCAAACCCGGCGAGGTAACAGTCTTGCATCAGGTCGTGGCTTACAGTAAAAATTGGGGGAAGAGTTGGGCCTGTGTTGTCTGTACAGAAAAGCTGGAAAAAAAAAAATCACACTAAGTCCACGCACGTGGAGCTCACTTTGGCTTCCATTTGAAGTCAGAATCCAAGTTAAACTGGCTCCAGTCTGTGGATCTTGTGTCTTTTTTATATTCTCTATTTGCCCTCGACAAAATAAATAAATGAGCTTCAGAAAGACTCGAGTTTTCAGCATCAACAACTCACCTTCACCTGGATTGAACTATTATTAGATTTGTTTTAATGTGATTTATTCATTTCTTTAACTGATTTTTGAGATACAAGAGTTTCATACATCTGTCAGACAAAAGTCTACAGTGATTAGTTTTGCCAATCTGACTACAACCAGGGTTTTATGAAATCACATGGTCCCATTTATTCTTTCATCCCCCCAAAACGGTCGAAAATTAGGAAGAATTTTAACAATAATGCAATTTTTGAATCAGCACAAACCTAGAATTTAAAACCAAACTTGAACGGAAATGTGTAGAAATCCAAATCCAGATGAATAAAAAAAACTTTGCAACGCTGATTCATCTGATTTTCTTTGTTTCCCAAAACTGAAAGATCATTTCAAGGTTTCAGTCCTTTGGCAGGTTGTGAAAACTGTTACAGAAGAGTTATTTTCACTTATATATATATATACTGTATATATATATTTTAAATTGGTCACAAGACTTTTTTACTCTTCCTTGTACATCCAGTTAATCCTTGCGAAGGACTAACCTTTTCTTGTTTTCTATGATGTGCCATAATTAGCTCTTTTTATAACTGTATTAATCCAGTTGGAAGAGAGTGTGTCGAGAAATATGGAAAAAAAAGTCTCTGAATGAAATGTCCCAACACGAGAGGCACAAACCAGCAGGAAGGTAAAAAGTTTGCACTTGGGAAAAACACCTTAAGCCAAAAGCACTAAGAAGAGCTGTGTGTTGTACAATCACGGGCCTCTGCCCCAGCACAGCTCTTGGATCAGTAATGAAGAGGTAAATGTCTTTAGTCTCATAATAGTTCATTTTCTGTCAACCAGCTAAAACTAGGAGGAGAAAAAGTGTGCATACTATTGCTAAATACTGTTTTTGCAATCTGTGTATACTTATGAAGGTACCTCCAAGCACTGCTAGAAAATGGTTCATGGTTTGATGTACTGTAGTACTATATACACAATGTACAAACCCAACATTCACAAGGCAGCATTAAAGATCTACAATCAATTCATCTCAAAAAACACCATCTCCAACTCAGTGACGTTAAAAATACGCTGCCGCGACCAACACAACATCGAGGTGAAATTATGTAGCCAAACAGTGGGCAGAAAAGGCTACACATCCTTAATCCTTAAGAGGAGTTTTGTGATGGGAAAAACCAAAGAGGGGAATCAGGAAGACCGTCAACATAGTGTGCAGTGGAACATGTGGTGAACGGCTCGAGTCCTGGGACTAACTGACTTCAGATGCCACAGTGACAGCAGACAGAGTTGACAAAATGATGGTCTGTACTTATACAGCACCTGTCTAGTCCTGACGACCACTCCAGGTGCTTTATACTACAACCACACAGGTGTATGACAACTGTACTACCTACTGATCCACAGAATCTAAATGTGTCACGATTGCAGACTCGTACCAATTTGGCAGCACGCTTTAATTTTTCAACCAAATTTTTTGTTTGTTTGTTTCCATTTGTTAATCATTAGAACCAAAGAAGAATAAAATAGTTGTTTTACTGGTTAATAAATAAACTGAGGAGCATAGACTTGTTTATACCCACTGTATGTTTGCAGACTTGCTCAGTGAAACCTTTTCCAAGGTCTCAATCAAGAGTTTGATGAACAATTTTAAACAATTCCTCAAGCTTTGAACAGAAACTCCCAATATCCTCTGCTCCTAACGTTTGTCCATAAATATTTTTAAAGACTCATATCCTCTGCTCCTAACGTTTGTCCATGAATATTTTTAAAGACTCACTTACAAACTGAGCCTGAGCGAAAATGTCTCTCACCTCTAAAAAAAATCATCTTTAAATCACTGCAAAAAAGCTTCAACCAGAGAGAATCCTGTAAATCTGTACTTCAACCAACGTGAGACGTGAGAACTGCACATATTCCCCAACACATGGGTTTGAACCCTCACCTTCAGCAAAGTCAGTTCTGCTCTAATGACCTACAGCAGAGCAAACCAGTTGGAAATGTCAGATACTTTCTAACCAGTACATTTTGTACCAATGTTTAATCACAAAAGAACACGCATGTTCCACGTAGTGCCGAGACTAAATCCACATAATCCTATATGAGTACAGAACTTCACACGGGGGGTGGGAGGGCTCAAGGCTCAATCAGGATATGTTAGCGGTGAAGCAGCACAACTTTCACTGTGATCGCAACCGTGGTATAGGAAAAACATCAAAGTGACTGCAGTTCTAAAACTTTCATTTGATAATAATTCAACAGCGGTGACTTCTAACAAGCTAGCTCTTAAATTGTCTTCCTAAAAAAAAGACCACCGTCTGGTTGCACTTTTGGACATTTAAAAAAAAAAAAAAGGTTGATCCACATGCTATAAAAGTTCCCAAACACAGTTGTAGTATTTACATATTTACACTCACGTTAACATTCATGTGGTGTGAAGTGACCAGGTGTGTGATTACCAGGTGTGCCTGGTAAAAACTCAACCGTCCGTCTGCACAGGAGTCAGATTTCTGCTGATCTCCCGGGAAACACTTGAACCACGTTGCAGTCGAAGTCAAACAGTCTAGAAGTTACACAGTATATTCATCTAACAGTCTCATATTACACCCACACATTACTGTAAAACCACCGTAAAGCTTTGCCACCCATACATTTAAACCAATGTATCAAGCCCCTCCCCCCTTCGGCGCCCCCTCCTTGACTCTTAGGAGAACGACGTTAAACAATAAATCTAACACACACTCACACCGTAGGTCAGTTACAATAGTTGCCTTGTGTCAATAGTTTTCTCTACTACAGAGAGCTGGTGAAAGGAAAGACAAAAACCCTACAACAACAACAACAACAACAACAACAACAGTAACACATCTTTGAATATTTTACGAAAATATTCAGAACAGTTCTAAATATGTTTTTAAAAATGTTAGCAGAGAGGGTTAAAGGTACACTGAGTAGGATTTAGCAACATCTAGTGGTGCAGCTAGGTGTTGCGATAGACTAGAACTCACATCTCAAGCATTAAAACACAAAAAGATTGTCTGCTGTCGGCCAATTTAAAGTGTTGTTCTAAGCCATTCAGACAAGGGTACACCTAATAAAGCGTTGATAAATTAGTTGACCTCGGCCAATGATAAATAGAATATAAATGAATTGCACCTAAATCTGACCAGTGCACCTTTAAACTAAATTCTACAGTATGTATTTAATCAGGATCTCCCATTAAAACACACTGTTTTCTCATTTATATTTACAAAATACATCCATTATTTGGTGACCAACAAAGATCTAACAATCTGAAATAACAACAAGATACGGTGAGTGTGTCTGTATGCTGCCACTGCTACACTATATACCAAATCCTTTCAAAATAAAAACCTATTTTATTTGGAACACGTAAGTACTTTGTGATTCCTACCTACTCACCAAGTCAAGATTCATTATCTCTCAGAATATTCATACGAGTCATAAAATCCCTCAGGTAAATCCTGTACTCTCACTGAGGAAATCTGACTTTTAGGAAGTTGATTCAAAAGAGATTAACAGCCACTGTAGTGCAGTGGGACAAAAAACCAACAGTCAGGAACTGGAATTAAAAAAAAAAAAAAACTTTGAACCTTACACAAAACCAACTACTTAGTTTGTACAGGCAAAAAAATTGATCATTTCTCCAGCGAGCAACTTTTTAAATTTTAAATTTTTGTTCTCATCATTGACTGTACATAAGAAATGGGCAAAGCCATGTGTGGCCCTCATGACCCACAATAAAAGACTCAAAGTGCTCCTCTGGTTTTGGACATAATAACATCATATTACATATAATGTTGTTGCTTAATATCTACTATCTTGTGATGTGTCAATCTCAAATGACATGAAGTCATATTTGTTGCATTGTTTTATCGGTGGTCGCAACTTATAAAAATGACATTGTGTTTTTAGGAAATCATCTTAAATATGCAGGCAGGTCTACAGGATCATTTTTGTGAGCCTATAAATAATACTTAAAAAACCTTTTAGACCTAAAACTGGACCTAAATCGTTCTGACTCTTACTTTTAGACCTAAAACTGGACCTAAATCTTTCTTGGGTCCACTCACACTCACACCTGCACCCTAAAGTCCAGATTCTAGAGTCAGTGTGAGTTAAATCGCTCTGCGTGTGGTCACCTGCCACGGCGTGGTTTAAAGTTGTGGGCCAACGCGCCAGAACTCGAGGTGCTTTGACCACGTATAACCAACAGTCACCCGTTGTAAGTGTCGGAGGCAACCAGGCGTCAGCTCGCCTGCCTCTGGGGTAATGTAAGTGCTGACTCAAAGGGGACAGGAGATGAGAGTAATGGGCACTTTAGCCTGGCACTGAGCAACTTCAGCCCTAATGTGTGTCCACCATTAGACTCTGGTTTTAAGTCTGTGTTAGAGTTTGAACCAGCAGAGCACATTCACTCTTTTATTGTGACTTTACTCAGCTGCCATAGCCTACAGTAGAGTACGCTTGGTTCATATTAACAGTCTGTGATCTTTAAACATCTCACTTTTTCATTACCTCTCATTGGCTGTCAGCCTACAAGGCCTCCACAGTAACAATGGCCTTGCCTGTCTTCTGGTTTAGAGTGGAGGAGGAGGAGGAGGAGGACAAGTTGCCACGCTGCTCAGTGTAGTTGTCCAAGAGAGATGACTTCCTGTTGGCCTTCCCTCCCAGGGAACAGTACATGCTGTTTTGCAACAGGTCCTCCTTCTCTTCACCCTTGGCATTCTTTTTCCCTTCTTTACCCAAAAACCCTTTCTGCAGTTCCTCTTTCTCTCGCTCCTCCCTCCTCACATGACAGCGGCACACCTCAATGCCAGAGTCACCGGTGAGGCGTCGGTGCCTGAAGTGATCCTCCTCATCATCATCGTCATCTTCCTCCTCATCTTCTTCTTCTTTTTCCTGTTTCTGCTCCTCTTTGCTGTTGCAATGTGCAAACACTGTAACCTTTGAAGAGAGCACAGCCTGTTTGGGTGCACACGCCATGACACGGGGCGTCGGACCTTGAGGTGATATCTCTTCGTCTTTCTTTCTCTGCGCAGACATGGCTCCAAGTGGGTCTGACAAAGCAAGGGCATGGGATTGACCGGGTGGAAGGGAAGATAGCAGGACCAGGGGAGAAAGCGTTAGACAGGACTGCTGCACACGATGAGACTGTAGTGGAAGAGAAAATGATGGAGCTGCAGAGATTCTTTCGGTGCTGATAGAGGAGTGTCTCTGAACCGGTATGACATCTGGAGTGGCTGCAGGAACCACATCAGGAGGGAGTTGTGCCGACAGCGGAGCGGAGTGCGGTGGAGTGAACCCAGCCCCGTACCTTGGCATAATGGCACCGTCACCTCCCACATCACTGGGAGTGGAGAGGTGGCTGCTGTCGTACGTCTCGTCTGTCACCTGCACAGAGAAGGAGGTGCTCGATGGGGAGGTGAGGGAGCAGGACTCACAGGAGCAGCTGGTGTAGTTGTCTGAGCTCTGGGAAGAAGTCATGCCACCGGGGCCGGGGCCACGATATGGAGGGCAGGGGTTACTGTTAGGGTAGTGGTGGGGGAAGGTGGAGCTCGGACCCCCCATGGTACCACCCTGCAGGGCAAAGACGGAGCTGTAAGGTGGAGGAGGAGTGCAGGGCTGTGCAGCCACTTCCTCATAAGACGGCAACTTGAAGGAAGCCAAAAAACCTGTTAATGAGAAGAAAATAAAGTAGAGGCATTTATATAATAAGGCTATAAAAAGTCAACATTTTCGTGGTTCACAAATTACATTTCTATTCACGCAGCACAGAATATTTTTCATTTCAGCTGATGAGAAAAACCATACTGAGGTCCAGCATTGAGGAAGGATAGTTGCAGGCTCCGTTGTATGCGATGAGATTGATCTCTCTCTGTCTCTGCTGCTGTTGGATTCTCAGCTTGGCTCTGCGGTGGCGGTAAGCACAGAAACAGCTGAGCAGGATCAGCACTGTCCACAAAAGCCAGAACCCTAGAAAAAAATAATAATAACCTTCAATGTCCCTGATTTAGAAAGCAGAGATAACACATGTGGTCTGCAATCTGTAATATATGTTTGTTAAAGCCAGAGGAAGAATATATAGAATATATATATAATTTTTAAAATGTAATTTATTATAATTATTCATATGTAAATGGAAGTGAGGCAATAACCAATTATATAAATCAGTTTACTTACACCAGAGTTCATAATAATAGGTACAACAGCCTGTCTCTCCACAGCAGTGCCCGGTTTCACACAGATAACCTGGGTTGTTGTTGACACCAGGACAGTACTTGGAACTGACTACAGGCTGGCTACCAGAGCCCCGGTGCTGCTTCACCACCTAGTGGACAAACCACAGTATGAAAAAAAAGCTGCATTCTGTATAGAATGATTTTCCACATGACACAACATGTCATTGGTTAGCTTTACATATTAATCTAACCTACTGGTCCTCTATTGTCTTATAAGATTTTTACCACATGACAAAGTCAACAAAAGTGAATTTTAAAAGAATAAACAAGCAAAGTAGTCACAATCGTGACACCCGGGGGTCTTCAATGATTTTCATCACTGACTAATGAACAGATCAAATACGTTAGAAGGCCGCAGGCAGCTTCTGCTTTAGGTAAACAAGCCTCACCCGATTTACTGTCTGCACGTCCGCCTCTTTCTGAGAAACAGCAACCTACAAGCAGAGAAGAAAACACCTCTGTGAAATGGACTATTATCAAACACTGTCAAGGACAGAGGGGAGACAATAATCAAGAACGATTTTGTTGATGAGATGAGAGCAGAACAGATCCCTATAGAAAAGCCTTGGTTACATTTCTTATGTAAAAAAAAAGTAGGTTACTAAAACTGTTATGTGTACATAGTTACCACACAAGATGCTGAAGTGTGAACACATAATTATACATTGCCATGGCAACCAGCCTAGTTACGCTCTTAAGGCTTTTTTTTTTTCACTCATGCTGTTAGTGTTGTATTATCCACAGGCACTACACACTGAGTTGCGGTTGAAGGTTGAGCTCCGTACAGTAGCTGCTTCGGTGTTGTCCATTACCGTCAGGGACATGGTCATCTGTAAAGAGAGACGAGTACAACTGTCAAGATGGAGAAGCCATGGAGAAATACAGTAGAAGTGAAAATATAATGCAAAAAGAACAGACAAATGACGACAGATAAAAAAAAAAAAGATAAGGTCGAAAAACGACAAATCAGTGACATGAACCTAATCTGCTCTCTATGACTCAGTGAGAAGACAAAGGTACTGTGTAAAGGTATACGTTTGAATGTGAAAAGATACAGTAGTTACAGTTGTGTCCTTGATGAACACAAACCACTGGATCAAACCATCTGACGAACGAAACCTCAGGTACATCATAACCACAGGATGTTTCTATTCTGTCGTGAGAGTCGATAGGGGAACTGTTCGAGCCTGGTTGTGGAGTTCCTGTGGTAAGCCCACCACACAGTGCATACACAAGTGTCAGGAGATCATTCAGGTTTTTATACACAGACCACAGACTAACCACAAACTATTTCCGCCCTTCATGCTCTAAACTCTGTACAGCACTGTGGTATGAAGTGAATGGAAATGAATAGAAAAAAAAAACAACTCACTCAATAGTCTATGAAAATAAATGATAATTGTGTTTTTTATTGTCATTACCAAGAAAATGGCTGCTATTAGAAATGTTTCCTTTGGCTAATGGCTAAATAAACTGTTAACCCTTAACACACTGAGAGGTCAGGAGAGAACTTTGTGCTAAAGGTTCACTAGTGGAAATTGCTGCTAAATGTGCTTCACATGAGGGCTGAAACAGATAACAGCACAATATATTTCCAACATATTTCCAATATATTTCCAGCTACCAAACAAATGTAAACACAGGGGCTGAGAGCTACTTTGTTTGGCTACAGAGAAGAAGAAGCAATATTTTACTTCCAAAAGTGCTAATCAATTCCCAAACCATGGTTTAATTAAAGGAACAGATGTTGTCACCAACAGGTGAACTTGACTGTTTTCCAATATTTAAAAAAAAAAAATAGAAAAAAGTTGTTCAACTGGGGAAAAAAAAGTTCTTTTTGGCCTGGCATTTAAAGGTCATGACATTACTAAATTAAAGATTTTAGTTCTTGCTGCATTTTTGTAACATGAACAAACATTTTCACACATGCAGTTACAATATCTTCAGTTAATGGACAAAATATTATGAAAGTCTTAGAGACACATTATTATCTTACATTTCCCTCCTCTAATTAATCAAGTTTAAGTAAGTTTCCTCACTCTGCCCACAATTTTCGACATTTAAACTCCACTAATTTGCGAAATTAAAAAAAAAAGGTTTTCAATTCTGTGGCTGAAGGTTTTTCTACAACCGCAGATACGGGGTTTCCCTTTATCGTTATGTAATAAACTAATGTGGAAAATGAGTGATTTTACTGAGCACAAACCTTCACTGAAGTCGACAACATTGTAAGATGTAATATAGATTAATATTACATTAGTACGGTAGTGATTTAGTAGTAGATGCAGACGTTAAACGAAGACAGCGAGCAGAAGAACACAACATGGGCAGAGGAAGCAGGTGTTTCTACTGCAGTCTCTAAATCTGTTGACACCTGTGTGTGTACTGTACGTGTGTGTGTGTGTGTGTGTGTGTGTGTGTGTGTTTTACCTCCACCGACTTCAACCCGAGGCAGAACGTTAACTTGTTCTCAGGATCCATGACTAGTGCTGAAAAACCACGCTATGCAGAGGAAACACGGCTGCAGAGGCGGGATGTTATTCTGCCGCTGTCCCACTCCACAAACGCGGCGGCCTCTCTTTCCGCCATTCCCCTGGACCGACAGACGGACGTGAGGGCTGACTGACACCACTCCGAGGGAACAGCGGCGCCTCTGTCTTCCTGTGTGTTGTTTCGCACACAGGTCAACGGATTTGCCACGGAGGGCGTTTTGCCGCGTTGGGATGGAGGTGAAGATGTTTCAGCCGCTGTTTACGCAGAGAGGCTCGGAGCAGAGCATGACGTCATTTTTGCTCGTACGGGAGAAGCGGCAGCAGCGACTTTGATTGGCTGGAGCTCCCAGCAACAGCCGTACGGAGGCCGCTCACACACTAACGTGCTCTACGAGCATGAAAACACAACACATACACGTGTGTGTGTGTGCGGGTATGTGTGTGGCTGTGTGTCCAGGGGGGACCAGTCAAATCATTGGTTCCAGTTGTTGCTGTTTTCGTCGTACAGTGACTATAAACCTCATCACATTACAACCATAAATTTCGTGAAAATTATTTTTACGATTCTGGAATCAAATCTCCTCAGAGCACTAGCGAGAGCGCCCCTTACTGGCCGCTAATTAGCAAAAGTATTTTTTTATAGCTTCATCAACAAATACTCCAAGCACATTTGTTTGAATTAACTTCAAAGTTTTTACATTAAATTAGAAGCAACGCTATCCTCCTAAAAAAACAAAAACTGGGAAATTGGTGGAATGTGTACAGAGTCAATAATAGATTAATATATATAACCAATTACTCATATATAAATATGTACATATAATAAACAACAACACCAGTAATAATAATTGTAATAATACATACAAGTATAATAAAGTAAGAACGATGATATTAAATATTTAAATTACTACAGTTACTAAACAAGCATTTATCCTAGAAATGTTGAAATTCTTTATACCTCCTACAATGGCTCGCCTACCACCATGGATCCAGGGCGTCTGTCTAAAAAATCATGTAAAAAAGTTTAAAAAAACTAAACGTTGAAGTTTTCGTAAATTGTCAACAGAGGGCAGTAGAATACATGCTGTCAATTTCTATGTTATATTCTGTAAGTAAAGAGGGATTAATCAGACGCCGCCGTAGAAAAATGTTTATAATGTGTGAACGTGCGTGCGTGCATGCGTGTGACCTCCATCATAATATACAGAAGGATTTTGTGTGTTTTGAAATATGTTGTGTACTTTTGGAATTACTTCAGGACCATATGAGACTTCTCTGTTTTACTATGTGTCAATGTGACAATAACAAGGTATGCAATGAGTGTGCATAGCCGAATATAGACAATTCAAAATGAAACCGATTGTAAGTTTTGTTCTTCTTTCCCATGGTGAGGAGGGACATGTGATATTCCGTAAGTAGTTACCACAATACACGCTCGTTATTTTTAAGATTACACAAACTACACGATCAATTAAAAATGACTTTTTTCCATATCTATCTACTTTAATATTTACAAATGCCAAGAAACTACTGAACAATACAGGAAAAAAAAAAATTCAAAAATGAAAATAAACACGTTTTGGGAAGTTGTTCACCTAATATACACGTACGTGGATACATTTCTCCACAAGTGAAGCAACGTTTACAAGTGACCGTTAAAAGAGGGTCTGGCCCTAACTGTTACATATGTTGTAGCAAGCTAGCAAAATTTGATTATGTAAATATTCCCAAAGACCATTTTCTCCCTCTTTGGTTATAATACGTTACTTTTATAAATACATCACATACATGTATTAATATACTTTATAAATACACTACATACAAATGTACTTACTACATACGTTTGTTTTTACTGAGCAGGGAAAATTGAGTCCAAGTTTAATCCATCAGTTGAAGTTAAAATACACCGTCTCAGATGGATATAATGGAATCCAACCAATAGGTGGCAGTGATGCAACTTAAAGTTTAGCTCGTTTACTGTAACCACTGGTGTTTAAAAAAATAAATAACAGAAACCTTTCAGTTCAGCAAAACAAAAACGTCCAGGTTTAATTCAGTAGCAAAGCTTTAGCACACACAGTTCAATTAGCAACTTGATAAGGTGGAATTTCACGCAGCAAATGAGGAAATGAATCAAAAGCACTCGTCATACACGAGGGAACCCTCCAGAAAGAAACACTGGAAAATGTGTAAAAATCCAACCAGACAATCTGGCAGGGAATGAGTGCTTAATGAGGTGTAATTAACATCTCACCACCTGCCATTAACTTTAACTTCTTGTTTGGAAGATATTTGTGTTGTGGGGAAAATGAGATGCTGCCCAGAAGGGGTTTACTTTTTAAATTAAAGATATCTTGAAGAAAGCATTTGTGTGTGTGTGTGTGGTAGGAAAGTAGTTGTATAGTTTTTTTTATATTAAACACATGTGGTGTATGTTAAATATATGATATTTGGTGTTGTGTTTTTATTATTTATACTCGTTTGTATACAATATAAAGTGTTTTTATGAGACTATTTTAAACAAAACAAGTAAATAAAAATCAATATAATATTATCATATCATAAATATATGATATAAGGCTTGTTCAAACCCATGTTGCATGCATGTCATGTTGCATGTAGAAATGTTCTACAGACATCCCCAGGGTCATCTAGTCCTGCATGGAGCAGCAGGTTCCCCCACACCGAGAGTCAATAGCACGTGTCGTTCTATAAAGGACTGTAGTCCATGCAAACATAACAACAGTTCACTCAGCTGGATTTAATCCACACATGTCAAAGGTATAGCATTTACACGACAGTTAGAAATTTGACTTTGTCTATATGATGAGTGTGCTATTATGAAACCTGCCCTTTAACTGACATTCGGATGTCACGGCAATGGCGTCACTCAAGAAACTGGATAGAAATGAAACACCTTTTGTAACTTTTTTTAAAAGGGCCCAACAAAATGTCTACAAAATAAAAAAAACAGACTGAGGTCAGTGAGTTACTGGGAAATGCAAAGTTTTCAGGTCAGCCAAATTAACATACATCTGCTAATACTTACTAGACTCTCAAGCCATATCCTGTACCTAATGAACATGTGACATTTCTAAACGGCACTGTATATGACAGTGCTGTGTACAAGAAGCCCCTAAAAGGAGTGAAAAAACATTGCATTACCAGTTATTTTCCAAACGAGGAGGCAGAGAATTTTTTTCTTTTTTTTTTTCCTGGGTCTTTTTTAAGACTTTGTATTAAATTTGACTTAGTATTTTAAAATGCCTCACCAGGGGTAAACACCAGGGGTGTTACCTATTGAACGCCTTAAAAATAGCCAAAACAACTCATTTACTATACATGATAAAAATAGAGGTTAACTTCTAGTTTCTTGCAGCTAAACTATTGTTGTGTTAAAACAGACTTTGTGCTCTGTTGTTTTGTCTCTTTGGCGAGATCAAACTGTTTGATAGTTGTGTTCCTGAGGATAAGTGACATTCTTGTTAGGGTTTGTTGCTTTGTGTTTCCATGGAGAGGTCACTGTCATTAGTAGGTCAGGTGACTTTAAACACCAGCCCCCTACAGCTGACAAGGCTGCAGAATTTATACATCTAAAACGATGTGTATATATTTAGTGTTGGGTAATGTGTTTAGTATTATTAATATTAGTCTTGTTATTATTATTACTAGTCAATACTATGAGGTATTTTAATAACCTCTGCTTCTAAATGTTGGTTCATTCTTTGTATATAATCTTTATTACCTTCCAAAACTTTTCCTATTTCAGGCAATAACACCTACCGTCTGTAAATGACCGTGTGACCGGCCGTTATGGATTGGATTTAACTTCTGGGCAAATCCTCCACCTTTAGCTTTGATAACACAACACTGTTTTCCTGTGTTGCTTCCTCATACACTGCAGTATCTATGAGTCCAGAAGACCATTCAGCAGCTGTCACTGTGAAGCCAGGCCCAGTCACTGTCTTTGACCTCTTTGTTTGCAATATAACTATATTATCATCAGCCTTGTAAATCAGCTGTCCTTGTGCTAATATGCCACAGCTGTCAAACATGAAGAGACAGAGACAAAACTATTCCTCTCATGTTTGCCGAAAGGATCCGGGTGCAGACAAATGTCATTGTGTGTCTCTCCGTAGTTCCCCACCAACCACATGCAAACAAAACGGACAGAGAGACGGACAAAACAGCACAGTATATGGCACCGACCTCCACCAAAAGATTTTTACGCTAGACTCATTTTTTATGTACGTCAACGATTTCTGTGAGAAATTGCCATTATTTATGTTCAGTAAAGAAAAAATGTTGTGAAAAAGGTGTTTACGGTGCTGTATGTGCACATTCCATTCCTCACACTCTTCCCTTCGACCTAACATGAGGAAAGTTGAGGGGAACAAAGGATCAGTTTGTAACTCTGAACACCTTGAAAAACAAGAGGAACTTACAGAGAGACGGTGCACGTGACTGACAGGCTGTTATGCTGCCGTGCTCTCCTGATCCTATCTCACTTTGATAGCGGATTAAACACACACACACACACACGCACACACACAGATATTAAAAGTATGGAACCACAGGCCAGCAGAAGTCCAAGACATGTCCTGGCAAGTCAACCAGAGTTAACTTAATGAGGGTTGTAGACACACACACACACACACACACATACTCACACACAAACACACGTGCTATCAAATGTGATTATCATACCGCTGAGTGAAACAACCAAAACAAGATCATATAAGACGACTTGTATCAGTTTCCCTCTCCCTGCTTTCCACAGTAAATCCTTACACACACACATAAGAACGCCTGAAGAAGTAAATGATAATCTCAAAGTCATTAAACAAAATAACTTTTTGATTTACTTTCATGTGCAGATAGGTTTAAAGGGATATATATATAAATATATATATACTGTTTGGGTGAAGATGGGCAAAAAGGACAGGTGTAAATATAAAAGAATAGAAAATAATCTGTTTGGAGTAAATAATTATGAGCTAGTAACCCTTGCTGAGGGACACAGTTAATCTGAACAAAGTTGTGGCTGCAATAACGTTGGACCTCGTGGAATGGATAAAAAAGGAAATTAAATGAAACATGGTGGGAGGAGTAAAGTGAGAAAAAGTACTTGGAAATCGGAGCAATATATGTTTAATTAAAGTGCCTCCCTTAACCCCCTGTTGACTGTGGCGTCTCCACATGACCTCAGTGGCTTTCTTTGGTGTTTGGCGTTGCTGCTGCTGACACAAGGTCTTTGTCTGAGACGGGCACAAAAACAACAGGAACCCTGTGTAGACCGTAGTGGCCCAGAGAGGAACAGAAAAGCACAAACATAAGCAAGCACACAAACAGCAAGGTTTCACCTCTGGCTGATTTAAGACAGTTTTCAGGAGGAAAAAAGTCCAGCAGCAGCAGAAAGTCTGGTCCCAACTATGCGAACGTGTCTCTTTGTCCAGCTGCATTTCTGACCTGGGTCAATGACACGTTTTAACTTTCTCAAGTGTCTGTGCTGTCACCACATCTTCAAGGATAACACACTGTGGCACCACATAAACAAGTACCATGAGAGAAAGACCATGAACAGTAAATGGCATAGCCGAGCTCGTGCCTCTTTAATCCAGATGTTTACAGAAGCCAATTAGGCTCTTATTAGGGAGAAACGTCAAAGACATGGTGTCTACTCATCTGCTTTAGCACCCCACATGACTGGATGACTTTAGTGGCCGACTCCTTTTTTCTTTATATTGGAGCAGGCAAAATATTGCAATAAATTTGACTAAAGTAACTGACTTCATAAAAAAGGCCTCAGTGAAAACCTCATATCCAGTTTTACAACCCTGGCTCAGTGGTGACAACAACAAGCCAGGAGCCTAAAGAAAAAGAAAAATGGTCTTTATAGTAACAACAAGACAGACACTTCGACACTGGAAGCATATTTAGCCAAGTTAGCCAAGGACTAGTGAACAGTAAGAAAAATAATTACAGTTTATGCAAAATAACTGTAAAAATAGCAAAATAAATAGCTAGAACATAACTAGAACTAAAGAAAAAAAGAAAGAAAGAAATGTTCTTTAAACAACAATACTGTACTGAGTCCAGGCCAAGGCCCGTAGCTACACATCTGAGATGCCTTGCTGAGGATACAGGCTGCAGGCTCTATAGATAAACATGTCTTCCCTGTTCCATATTCAAATATCCTGTGTGCCATATATCTTTTTCCTGTCACCAAAAGAGCAACTATGAAGAAGACAGACCACTGCAAACACCACTACTTTGTTGTTCTACTGCCCCAAGGACTCAAGCCACTTTGCTAACTTCTCCCTCCCCACACGCTCTCTTGCCTCACAACATTTTTTTCTGCACATTCTCGTCCAGTGAATTCTTGGCCGTCCTGACTTCACCACCAACTCTCATTTTTCCCTTTCTCCCCTGCTCGGGTCTTCTCTCTGTTTTGTTCCTCTTTTTTGTGTCTTGAGACACAGTGACCTATTTCCAGTTTCTTCCCCTCTCTGTGTTTTTGTACATGTTACAGCTGAACTTTTTTTACACCATTCTTACACTGCCCTCTCCTTCTTTTTTCTTCTCAAAGAATACCCCCTCCCCCACTCCCTCGCTCCCACTTTCTGCATGTCTGAGGGGAAGCGCCCTGTTTGTGAGTGGGGCTGGATCAGGATCTTTGCCATGAGTCATTACTAGGAGACCCCTGGCACTCGGCTGTACCCCTCCTCAGCATGCAAGGAATGCTTGCTCCATGCACTTCGGCCTTAATGAAAGGTCTCGCTCATTGAGAGGCAAACAGCAGAACTTTAATAAGTGTGATGGACTTCAGGGTGTTGACAAAAAAAGAAAAAGATTCTTAGCCTACAAAAGTAGCTCTGAGGTGCAAAAAAACACCTTTTAAAAAAATGAAAACAACTGGCATATATTTGAGGTGCGCACAGCTGCACTTTTAGGTTATGGAAACATTTGCAGGCGAACACACATCTGTGTCTGTGTGACGTGTTCTGTCAGTTAACATGCAAGTATTTCATCAAATCGTTGTCAGACTGGTACCTGCAATATCACTTACAGCAGATTTAAAAAACAAATCTCTCTCTCTCTCCTTTTGCCCCCTGCCTCCCCTGTCTCTTTGTCATTTTTCTGTTATTTAATTCACCCCTCTTGACTCCGACCTCTCCTCCCTCTTGTTTTTCTCCCTGGCTCTCCCTACTTCCCCCATTTGCTGAGTCTAACAGGGCCATGGGTTCAAAGACATGCAAGCACCAGGATGTAGGTCAGTCATCGGTGCCGAGCTACTGATTAGAAACAGCTGTGCAATTGTGGGCCATTCTCTCAGTCTGCGGAGAGCAACTACTGCAGCGCTGCATGGACCGTTCTATTGTCAAAGTGTCAAAATTGCCCCTTCTCTCAATCACCTG